AGGCCGCGTCCCACATACAGCAACTAGAAGGATGTGCAGCTGTGACACACAACTATCTACTGGGGCTTTGGGGGAAAAAAATAAATAAATAAAAAAATCTTTAAAAAAAAAAAAAAAAAAAGAAAGAAATATGCAGGTAGGGTAACAATTCAGCTAATGAAATTGGAAGCAGCTGCCAGAGTGGTTGAGGGGAGAGGCATACGAGTTACCTTGTAATACTTTATTGACTTTTTAAGCTACCATATTTCATTGAATCTAAGATGCCATAGAGTATAGGATGTACTTATATTTTATGTATGTCTGAGAAAGAAAAAAATGCCAAATAAACTAGCATGTAACTGATTAGACTATACTTCCCAGTTTCAGAGATATTAAAATATGAAAAGTCCCTTTAAGAATCAAGAAAATATTGTAAATGCATATATTACTTTGATTAAAATAAAACATTTAAATGTATTCCTACTTTATTATGATTCTTCTTTTCTTCTCTAAAATCAATCTTCCCATGTGTACATATCCGTCCTGACTCGTGCTCTCACTTAATCACATTCCAGTCATGCTGAGAATATATAAAGAGGAGACTGCCACCTGTAACACAGATGTCACAGGCAGTGAGGGCCTGCATAGTGACCGAAGATGCAACACTGAGATTCAAGGCTTCCTCTTGGGGCTGCTGCCTTATTTTCTCCCCATGCCTTGGGCTCTTTCGTTCTGTATTTAATACCACATTTTCAGCATCTAAGATTTAATGATGAGCATTCTAGGACAATTGTGTAGGATCAGATGTTTTATTAGGGCAAACCCATGGAGTGCCTTTATTGCTGCTGGGCTGTTTTTCTGTACATTTTGGAACATGAAGATGAGAATCTCTGTTGAATTACTAATTACTTAGAAATATATATGGTGAAACTATGTTGTCTAAAGGAAAGAAAGTTTATCCTTGGGCAGGTAAATGTTGTATTAGTTTTAGGGCTTTGTAGAACATTTGGCAAATACTGAAGAGGTGAAAGAAGAAAAGAAATATGACCCATACCTGCAGTTCTTTTAATTTGAGTGCTTAGTGTGGTCATATCTACCTATTTGTGGGCATACCTCTGAGTAGTTTTGTATCCTTTATTCATTTAAGATTATATCCTGTGGGCCAGCTGGTGCTGTAGTGGTTAAGTTTGCGTGTTCTGCCTGAGCGGCCTGGGGTTTACAGGTTTGGATCTCGGACGCGGACCTACACACTACTCATCATGCCATGCTGTGGCAGCGTCCCACATACAATATGGAGGAAGATTGGCACAAACGTTAGCTCAGCGACAGTCTTCCTCAAGCAAAAAAAGGAAGATTGGCAACAGATGTCAGCTCAGGGCCAATCTTCCTCACCTCCCCAAAAATAAATAAATAAATAAGATTATATTCTGAGCATTTTAGGTCACGTGTTAATCTTTGAAAGCATGATTTTTAAATCAACTTTAGTATGGTCTAATTTACATACAATAAAATTCATCAGTTTTGTTAAGTTTTGACAAAAATCACAGTCATGATAAAGAACGTTTCATTGCCCAGAAAGGTCCGTCATGCCTTTTGTGATCAGTCCTCTTCCTTGCTTCTGGCACGTGTTGACCTGCTGAAAGCGTGCTTCTTCATGCTGGTGTAATAATTTTTCTTCTCTAGAGTGTCTCCCTTTGGTTTGACTTTGGGTCATTCATTTTCTTCTTTCTATTACAGGCTGTGCTGTGCCGAGCATTGTTGTACATCTTGGTGTATGTCTATTTCCATAAACTAAATACTTAGAAGTGGAACTGTGGATCCTGTAACAGAAATCTTTAGACAATTTTTTAAATTGTAGGCTTTCTCTAGGTTTGAGTCTTTCTGTGCCATATTCTGGTCTAGGGATGGATCAGAATCCCGAGGCTTTGACAGGAGACCTTAAATCAGCCTCAGCTACCTGGCGGTCTCCAGGTCTCCCTGTTCTTTGATTACCTTTGTTTCAAAGGAGATTTTCCCCCTGGTGACTGCTCTGCATAGTTTGTGTTCTATTTTGAGGCTATGCCTAGTCTTTTGTTGATGAAGTTTTTGTTTCAAATTAGTTTCTGATAACTTGACATAACCATTTTAACGGGGAAAGTATAGGTTTGTAAAATGAATGGCTGATTCTTTATATACTAGTACTGTTTAATATTGGGGCTTTTGTGGTTCTGCCTTGGTCTTTGCTAATCATAGTTCAGTGGCTGGCGTTGAGTTAGCACTCTTAAGTATTTGATTGTTGATTGAATGGATTGCAACTTGCATTCTTGCCTTTCATTGCCTTTTACAGGTGGAAGAGATTAGAAACACATGATGTTGTAATAGAATGTGCCAAAATCTCTCTGGACCCTACAGAAGCCTCATATGAAGATGGCTATTCTGTGTCTCACCAAATCTCAGCCCGCTTTCCTCATCGTTCAGCTGATGTCACCGCCAGCCCTTATGTTGACACACAGAATAGCTATGGTAAAAAGTGACTTTGGTACTTATCTGCTTTACAACTTTGTCTCTGGAAAGTGTTGTTTATTTTTGTTGACTTTATTTTCTTTTTCTAGTATAAGACTTAGTTCAGCTCCTAGGAACTGTTTCCCAACTATTTAAAATTTGCATTTGCCTCCATTTTCTCCGATAAGGCCTCTTTCAAGTTTATTTGAGTCCTATGTCATTGATCTCCTTCCTGCCTGATAGTATGCCAATAGACTTGGGGATGTGTTTTCAACACTTAAAAGAGAAAATGGATTCAAGTATTTAACTTCTGGGTACCACCTCATAAGGGAATCTTTCTACTTTGCAGACACTTCTAGTGAGGCCCTCTGGGCCTTAGTGTTGACACAGTTTGAATGAGTCTGGACAATTTAGAATTGGTTTCATATAAAAGTTGGGCTTATCTGTAGGTAGCACCCCCTGAAGTTGTCATCCAGGTTGAGCTCTTTCAAGTTATCCTCAAGCTTAACTAGACATCAGACCTTACTGAACTTTATTTCTGAAGAGTGTTTAAGGACCTTTTAAATATTACTTTGTCTTCAAGGATGTCAGGAGTCCACTCAGATTTTTTAAATATAGAGAACTGAATATTATCAAATGGTCTAGAGGACCATACTTTTTTTTATCAGAATAATCTAAAACCACACACTAACCCCATGTGTTCTTTCCCTTTTATTTTAGGGAGTGCTACTTCTACCCCTTACTCCATTTCTCGGCTGACATTGTTAAATACGCCAGGGCAGCTACCTCAGACTCTGAGTTCCCCATCGACACGGCTGTTAACTGAGCCGCCACAAGTATGGTGTCAAATAGTATGCCTGCTTTCTTCTCTGCTTGCTGGTGATGCTGACCATTTGGGTCAGGATTTAGCATATGGTTGGGAAAATCTCACACTGCTCATTTCAGGAATTAGTTTTAAGAATATGTGATATTAGCAAAGAAAGTTACTGTTGCCACTTGAGTTTCTCTTGGAGTCTAGACTTACAAAATACAACTTGTCTTTTTTTTTAATTGAGGTAAAATTGGCATATAACATTGTGTAAGTTTCAGGCGTACAACATTATAATGTGACATCTGTATATACTAGAAAGTGATCCCCACCAAAAGTCTAGTTACCAGCCATCACCTTAAAATTGACCCCCTTTACCCATTTCGCCCACCCCCCAGCCTCCTTCCCCTCTGGTAACCACCGATCTGTTCTCTATCTATGAGTTTGTTTTGGTTTGTTTGTTTGTTTGTCTTTTTTTGTTAGATTCCATAGATGAGTGAAATCATCAAAATGCAGTATGTCTCTTGATAAAGCTTTAATAAGATGCCTTTTTCCAGTTGAAAAGGCTAAATTTAAAGTGACCATGGGTCATGGATATAAACCTTGGGGATGATTTGGTATTCATTTCTCATTGCTGACATGCCTTCTTAACTTCCCAGGCTACTCTTTGGAGCCCATCTATGGTTTGTGGTATGACCACTCCCCCAACTTCTCCTGGAAATGTCCCACCTGATCTGTCACACCCTTACAGTAAAGTCTTTGGTACAACTGGTATGTATGTCTTAGGTTGGATTTGGTTGGTTGGTCTGGGCCTGCCTTTTTTGATAAGGAACTGTCTCTTAGATCTAACAGTGAGTTTGCGGGCCACTTAGAGTAGTAAGCTTGTTTTTGACACTTAATGCAAACATCTGGGGCTTTCAGAACCTGCAAAGTGAACCTTAAAAAAAAAAACTGATTTAGGGCCAGCCCCGGTGGCTTAGTGGTTAAGTTTAGCACGCTCCACTTCGGCAGCCCAGGTTCGCTTCCCGGGCGCAGACCTACACCACTCATCTGTCAGTGACCATGCTGTGGCAGCAGCCCACGTACAAAAAGAGGAAGATTGGCAGCAGATGTTAGCTTAGGGCAAATCTTCCTCAGCAAAAAAACAAAACAAAAAAGCTGATCTAGATACCCAGAAAGCTAACTCCAACAGCTTTCTTTCCAGTAATAATTAGGCTGAAAAAAGTTCAGCAGTTTTTCTGTTAGGCTGATTGTGTATATTCTGTCCTTGTCTCTGTGCAGGTGGAAAAGGAACTCCTCTGGGAACCCCAGCAACCTCCCCTCCTCCAGCCCCGCTCTGCCATTCAGATGACTATGTGCACATTTCACTCCCGCAGGCCACAGCCACACCCGCCAAGAAGGTATGCTCGGGCTTGTCTGCTGTCCCCCTGCCCAAGCACAGTGACCCATCTGCAGCCTCATTTCGTTAAGCCTATTATGCCAGACAGACTTTTGACCTAAAACATGATGGGTTTGAATCAGAACAATTGAAAATACACTAACCAGCAGCTCTCAAAGTATGATCTGCTGACCTGTGTGGTCCCAAGACCCTTTTAGGGAACCCACTAGGTCAAAACTACTTTCGTAGTAATGTCAGTAAGCTGTTATATGCCCTTTTTACAGTGTTGGGTTTGCTCTCATGGTATAGAAACAGTGGTGGGTAAAATGGCTGGCCCCTTAGCACAGATCAAGGCAGGCACCAAGCTGTCCTAGTAGGCATCGCAGTCTTCTTTGATGTGTTCTTTCAGTTTAAAAGAGGAAAAGAAAAAAAAAAAACCGACAACTAAAGATTGTTCTATATAAAGCAGTAAAATTATTAATTTTATTAAATCTTGGCCCTTGAGAAGGTGTATTTAATATTCTTTGTGATAAAATAGGAAATATACATAAAGCACTTTTGCTGCACACCAAAGTGTGGTGGTCATCTCAAGTGCTTGTGCAGTTATTTGAGTTGAGAACTGAACCAGCTGGTTGTTTTCGTGGAGCACCAGTTTTATTTGAAAGAACAGCTGACTGACAAACTATGGTTTTCAGACTTGAGTATTTGGCAGTCAGTTTCTTAAATGACAAACTGAGTCTGTCACTTCAGGATAAACAACTGACAGTGTGTGTTGCCAATGATAAAATTTAACTTTCAGGGGTAATTAGAATATTAAAAAACTGGTATCTGCCACCATGAGCTTGCTGGCTTCCCTGAGACTTTTATAATGAGATTGAAAAGTCTTGGGAAGCTTGGTTAATAATTTGAGTTTTTGATATTGTATAATGAAATCTTTCAATGTTTGGAAGATCTGCATAACTTGGTGAGACACTATTTTCTAACCGTCCAATGTATGATGTTGCAGAATCATGCATAGGTGAAAGGTGCATTCATAGTACGAGGTAGACCAGTGGATTTTAACATAGTGTGAAAATTTAATTGCTGTAGTTTCAGGTGCCACATTGTAAATAACCTTTAAGAAATTATTCCTTGTCAAGTTTTGGTGTGATATCAAAGATAGTTTCCACAGTTATCTGAAAAGTATGTTAACATACTTTTACTTTTTATAACTACCTATCTGTGGGGCCCAGAATTTTCTTCACATACTTTGGCCAAAATGGTATATTGCAACAGATTGAATGCAGAGGCAGATATGAGAATACAGCTTTCTTCCATTAAACCAGATATTAAAGAGATTGCAAAAATATAAAACCAGCTCCACTCTTCTCACTAAATTTGTTTTATTTTTGTTTGGGGAAATATAGTTATTTTTCATAAAAATATATGTTATTTATGTTTACGTGTAATGAGTTCATTAATTTTAAGTGAATTAATAAATATTTTTAAAATTTGTTTTAATTCAGTAACTATCAATAGATATAACCACATAAACAGAAGTTCTTGGGATTCTCAATCATTTTTAAGAATATAAAGGCATCCTGAGACCAAACAATTTAAGAACCACTGGGCTAAACTGTAAACTTTTCTATAATATGCTAAAATTTTAGACATTTAGGATATTTGTCTTCCATTAGAGAACATGTACACAATTTCTGCCTTGTGATGTAAATGGTACCTATCTTTTCAGGAAGAGAGAACAGATTCTGCAAGGCCTTGTCTACATAGACAACATCATCTTCCGAATGACAGAGGATTAGGTAAAATCTCTGGGTAACGGTAGACCTTGCTTGTCTCCTCTTGTTAGATTATGTGTGGAAACAAGGAAATTCTGGAACACCACAAAACACTGAAGCCTAGAGAGAGTGAAACATGTAATTAATTGTAAAAACCAGCCTAATAGTAACATCAAAAAAAGCTTTCAAGCTATTGCAGTGAAGTACTTGTGTTTTGAGCTGGTCAAACTGTGGTTTTATCTGTTCTCTGAGACATTAAGAGTGGATAATTTTATTTTCTGTGGGGTTATTTTTTGGTGCCTTTAATTAGATTATTTCTAATATCTTAGCCTTCTGTAGTAGCTCCAGGAGAGAGCCATTTCCAGCCTTTTCTGTTCAGCAGGGAGAATCATTATAGACATTCTATTACAGTGTAAGCAGTTTTACAGTTATGGGGATTACCAGCGTATTTCTTTGACTTGAGTTGTCTTTGTTTCTCTTTAGAAGAGCTACCTGGCAGCAAAGGTTCTGTCACTCTAAGTGATCTTCCAGGGTTTTTAGGTGACCTGGCCTCTGAAGAAGATAGTATTGAAAAAGATAAAGAAGAAGGTAACGTGTGTGGGATTCTGGGCTTGTAGGAAATTGCTGAAAGATGATAAAACCCTCATTCTGCCCTAAAACCAGGATTTAGTATCAACATTCACAGGCTTGCTTGGTTTTTCTTCTCTTGGGGAAAGAAGATGAGAGTTTTATTCTGGGTTCTATGCCAGGTAAAGGGAGGCTGTTTTTTATCTGTCCCTCTGGGTGGCACATGGCAGCATGCAACTCCACACTGCCCGGCCTTACCCAGACGGCCTATTTACTGTGGTGTCTTTTATCTCCCTCCCTCCTCTCAGCGGCAATATCTAAAGAACTCTCTGAGATCACGACAGCCGACGCTGAGCTCCTGGTTCCTCGAGGAGGCTTTGACTCTCCCTTCTACCGGGACAGTCTCCCGGGCTGTCCGCGCAAGACCCATTCTGCCGCCTCTGGTACTCAGGGCACCAGTGTGAACCCTGAGCCTTTAAATTCCTCCCTGGACAAGCTCGGGCCTGACACACCAAAGCAAGCCTTCACTCCCATAGACCTGCCCTGTGGAGGTGCTGAGGAAGGCCCTGCCGGGAACAGGGGTCGCCAGCCTTCTCTGGAGACCAGTATCCTCACTCCCAGCCCTTGTAAAATTCCACCTCCAAGGGGAGTGGGCTTTGGAAGTGGGCAGCCTCCCCCATACGATCATCTTTTTGAGGTGGCATTGCCAAAGACCGCCCATCATTTCGTCAGCAAGAAGACGGAGGAACTATTAAAGAAAGCAAAAGGCAACGCCGAGGAAGACTCTTGGCCCTCTACCTCCCCAGTGGAAGTGTTGGACAGGCTGATCCAGCAGGGAGCAGACGCGCACAGCAAGGAGCTGAACAAGTAAGGCGCTTGCGCTGTTTCCTTTTGCTCTAAACATTCAATGTTATTACAAAATACAGAAAGCAGAAGGATGGAAACAGGAGTCATTCTTCATGCTTTCTCCAGAGGCAGCTGGTTCTCCTCTGTTTTGCCAGATGTCAGTCCAGGCTGTTGTCTTTTCATGTGTATGAATGTGTGTATCCTCTGTATGCACCTTAAACTGGGATAATTGTTAGATAATGTTTCCTTTAAAAATGAATCCTTTATACATGGGCCAGTTTGTACTATGAGGCAGCTCAAATGCTTTCACATTTGCTTTCTGAAAATTTGAGGACGGGGTTATGGTATTCAAATAATAGAGGAATGTTTGTCACAGTGTCTCCTTCTCTAGCTACAGATTTTTTTTTTTCTATTTTGGTAATGTAGTTCATTAGTTAGAAGATAAAATCATCAGTGTTTCAATGCAAGTTCAGGGTGGCCTGCCACTTCTGCTGCTCCCCACTTGCACACAAGATTTCTTAGAAAGAAACCTGTCTGAGACACTGTTTGCAACCCTTCTTTTGTTACCCTTTTCAAGGGTTATCCAGGGAAGGGATACGGGAATCACTAGTCCAGAGTTTGAATCCTCAGCCATTTCTGAACAGGTTCTTGAGAATGTTAGTTTTAATTTTTCTTCTATATAATAACTTAAGGTGGAATTTGACAGAGATTGTAATATTGAAGATTCCTCTTTGAATGAGATTTGGTATAATAGGCTCAGGTAAATTACCTACTTTTTCCTTACACTTGGCCACTCCCTGTGTATTTCAACAGAGAGGGTTGAAAACAGCTATCGATGTGTTTGATCACTCAGTTGCCTTGTAGAGCTGACTGAAAAACGTAGGCTGCAGTGTGAGGTCCACGTTAGGGCCTTTCACTGGAGACTTGGTCATGCTTAATGGGGGTGCGTCCCTTCCATCCGCTCTAAGTCCTCTCCTCTAACTCCATGGGGACTTGGAGTTTGCAACTGTCCTATTCCATTGCTCCTTTTGAGCACAAGGAAGTGATCTAACCTTGCTGCAATTAAAAGTCTAGGTATGATCGGTAACTTTGTTACTCAAACACTTTCTTCCTAGGTTGTCTTTACCCAGCAAGTCTGTTGACTGGACCCACTTTGGAGGTAAAGTTGTTACTTTATCTCTCTCTATATATATATTCATTCCAGATTTGTGGGGGAAAATAAATAAAGCTCTCAAAGAGTCATCCCACATTGTACCCCTTTGTGGTCCTTAAAAAGGGAGATAGGTAGGGAATACTTTTCCTCCCTGTCCTGAGGAATGACTGTTGTTGGGAACCAAGTGGTCATTTGCAAAGTGAGTGGTGGTTTGTTTCTTAAAGAATTATATTTCTTAAGCTAACAAAACCATGGGCAGGGGCTTGATTGAACGATATGTAAAAGGCATCTCTGCCACCCTCTGCTTTAAAATCAGGCTCTCCTCCCTCAGATGAGATCCGCACCCTCCGTAACCAGTTGCTTTTACTGCACAACCAGTTACTTTATGAGCGTTTTAAGCGGCAGCAGCATGCTGTCCGGAACAGGCGGCTCCTCCGCAAGGTGATTAGAGCGGCGGCTCTGGAGGAACATAATGCTGCCATGGTGAGTGTTACGGGCATGGGGAGAAGGTGGGTTTCATCTTTTGTTTAGTTGTGGGTCTGCGTGATAGTTTACAGAGAGCAGCAGCTGAGCTGAGGTCTAACTCTGCTCACTGGTCTGGCTTGGGGCAGGTCATTTAGTCTCTGAGGTTAAGACGTGAGCAGCTTGTTCTCTGAATTCCCCTGCAGCTCTTGGAAACTGTGGGGACGAGTGATTCTTTGTGTTTGTCTGCAATTGGCTATGATGATATCAGAGTCAGAAGATTATTTTGTTTCTCCAAATGTGAAACCAGCTCTCCTGAAGCTATTTTATGACAAAAAACTTGTGGCACAGTGGTGAAGCCAGTCAGACCTCGCTGGAGGTTGAGCCTTGGCTCTACCACTTATTACTTCAGGAAAGTCATTCAGCCTCTTGAAGCCTCTGTTACCCATTCTGTAAAATGGGAATAATAATAGGAGCACCTGCTTTTTATCTGTGATGGTTAAAAAACGCATGCCCGTAAGTGCTTGCCCGGTGCCTGGCGCATGGTCAGTGTTTAGTAGACATTCATCACTCCAGCGACCTTCATCGATCCCGTGTGTCAGGGATCTTATTCCAGTGCTGCTGGTTAGGACTTTTGAAGGTATTGGGAGCAAGTTGATCCCTGACAAAAGTTCTTTAAGCGACTTATGATCCCTTTGCTAATGTGCAATTTGCTAACCCTTGACCTAAAGCCAAGTTAGACAGTAGTGAGCTGTCAGATTCTGGGCCTGTGGTTACAGTTTCTGGGCAGCGTATGACTGTTCAGATGAAACCTTTGCAGCATGGGTTAAACTTGAGCATCACTGCCCATGTTGGAAGGCAGCTAAAATGATGGCATCTTTGGTCTCTGCTAGAAAGACCAGTTGAAGTTACAAGAGAAAGACATCCAGATGTGGAAGGTTAGTCTGCAGAAAGAACAAGCCAGATACAGTCAGCTTCAGGAGCAGCGAGACACGGTGGTAACCCAGCTCCACAGCCAGATCAGACAGCTGCAGCATGACCGAGAAGAATTCTACAACCAGAGCCAGGAATTACAGGTACCAACTGCAGCACCAGGCAGAGTCAGCCAAGAGAGGGCGTGAAAGTGCCTTGTTTATCTTAGCTGAGATGAACCACTTCTCTCTCAGATCTGGCAGGTAGCTTTCACATCAGTACACTTTATTTAGGCCAGAGCTTCCCTAGCTCTCTTGGTTTGTAGCTCCCTTAGCATTTCAGTCATTTTTCCCCTGGTACTCTGCAGCCAAAAGAAACAACTAACAGTTCTGCGTATTAAGTAGATCTAAACAACTTAGTGACAGTTAGTAGCTGTTTGAAAATTGTACACATAAATTTTTTAAATTTCGTTTTTAAGTGATCACAGTTACTTCACAGTGCTGTGTATGCACCTCTTGGGCACTGCACAGTCTCAGACCTTGGAATCAGACTGGACACTGATACCCTCATTGCCTGTCTCACATTGGTTTTTGCGTGGTGGTTTTTATCACAACCACCACGTAAAGCCCAGCTTTGCAAAGATACATCATCATCCACAGGCATGTAGCCCATCCAGTACTGAAACTGAACTACCTCCAGTTAGTAGTTCACTTGATGACCGACAGATGTCACTGTTACCCTCAAAAATTTCAGATATCCCCCTGGCACCCCTGCGAATTTGCTGCGTAGCCCCAGGGCTCTTTGGTACACAGTTTGGGAACTGTGGATCTAAGGTCTTGTTTTCTTTTGTTAAACAAATCAGGAGCTCAGAAATCAACCATAACTTACTTTTTAAAACTAAGAAGTTAAATCCTGATGGCCCAAGAATAGTAGAGCGACTGAGGAACTAGGCTCTCCCAATTCTCTGTGGGCCGACAGCCAGGTGGGCTCGTGCCCTGGCCTGCCGGCGCTCTGTAACTTCATGGCACGTCTCTTTGGGTAGACAAAGCTGGAGGACTGCAGGAATATGATTGCAGAGCTGCGCCTGGAATTGAAGAAGGCCAACAGCAAGGTGTGTCACACCGAGCTGCTGCTCAGTCAGGTTTCTCAGAAGGTAAGAAATGGGCAAGCTGGGCTTGTGCTCACAGCACTGGCTGATATTCTTCCTTTAGAGAGGACACATATATTGCTTGTGTGTCTGTCAGGGTTCCCAACAGGGAGTGATGCTGCCCCCCCAGGGGACATTTGGCGATGTCCAGAGACATTTTTGGTGCTACTGACATCAAGTGGGCAGGGGCCGGGGTGCTGCTAAACATCCTACAGTACACAGGACAGTCTTCTCCACAGAGAACTATCCTGCGTGAGCCCTAGCCTGTATGTCCTGGGGAACTCTTCTTTGATACCTTGTTTACGTAAATGTGAAAAGTTTGTTCAGGTTTTTGAGCGATGATACCTCCCTCTTTGGGGTTCACTGTATTCCCTATAAATCACTTATTCAAGAAGAAGTGGGTTTTCCCTGGGGCTTTATCCTCCTGGACCTGAGGTCCCTGCTGTGGTGGTATATACACATCCATCTTCTCCAGGCAGCTTATGAATGGCCACTTTTGATGTCGCACATTTGTACTCCTTCCCCTTTGCTTAGCACAGTTTTGAAGTGCATTTCTGTCCATTTTCATTGCCCTTGGATGCCTTCGTCCCCACCAGGTTTTATGTTAGGGAATTTGAAACCATGGGAGTTATTTATTCTGCCCCAGCCCTGAAATACTGTGCTCCTAGCTGGTTCTCTGTTTAACGTCCATTTGCCAGTTTTGTGTTGTCAGTTCTCTCACTTTGCTTGTGTATGTATTTTGGTTAGCTCTCAAATAGTGAGTCGGTCCAACAGCAGATGGAGTTCTTGAACAGGCAGCTGCTGGTTCTTGGAGAGGTCAACGAGCTGTATTTGGAACAACTGCAGAACAAGCATTCAGACACCACGAAGGTATGCCGGGGCTGGGGAGCCAACCCTGGGTGGGAAGCCCTGAGGACGTGGCCGAGTGTCTGCGGCACATCACACAGAATGGCTTTATGAAGTGTTTCCTAAGAGCTGGTGCAGCAGTCCTAGCGTCCATTTCCACCTCTCTTTGGTCTAGCGACACAAGCACTTCTCAGCCATCACGTGAACTTGTTTCCTCTAGTTGGGTTGCTTTGAAATTAAATCAGGTATGAATGAAAACACCTAATGGTAATTGGTACAGAGTAGGTGTTGTAAGTATTTCTCTTCCCTTACTCATGGCTCTTTTAAAAAGAGAGAGAGAGACAAAGAAAAAGGATGGGGAGCCAATTCTGTGTAACGTACTCTTAGTACTGTGGGTATACACCGGTATGCATGTTTTTTCCTCCTTGTAATATTGAATCTAATTTCAGCAGAGGGTGGGTTAGTCCTGGCAACAGGGCCAGCATTGGGATGATCTTACATTAATTAGTGCCTCACCAATGGCATTGAGGCAGAAGTTTCATGTCACTTTATAAATAGCCTCAGGTAATATTAGTAAATGAGGTGGGTATGGAATTTTAATAGTAAATACTCAGATGCTTGCTGTCACTAACTTCTCCATCACACACGGGCTTTCTTTTTAGGATTTCTTGGGCTTGTGCTTTGTAAAGCATCGTTTTTGGCCAAATGTAGAGAGTAGTCTTAGAACGAAAGAGATGTAATTTTCATAATAGAGTTACTCCTTATTTCTCAGCTCCTCTCAGCTCTCAGATTCAGACTCCGTTTAGAAGGATGTTAAATGTGGAACTTTCTCGAGAAACCAGCTATCACTTATTTTGAAAGTATGGCTCTGGAAAAAGAAAGAGGGAAAAACAGACCTAAGGGACAAAAGAACCTCTGAAAAAGCTTACTTAAATGCATTCCTTACGAAGGATAGATAGATTGGCCTCTGTGGTGCTGTCTTTTGGTTGGGATACTTGTACTCTTGGGGCCTCGAGCAAGCCCGCTGACCTCTTTGGTCCCTGTTTCACAGTTATAAAATGCATGTGATGATACTGACTTGTAACAGTTAGGATGCTTTCAGTTGTAAGCAGCAACAAAAAAACAAACTAAACTGGCTTAACAATACAGAGTTTCATTATTTCACTTGACAAGTTGTCTTGAGTCAGGTGAGTTCCAGGTTGGTAAAGTCATCAATTTAGGGACAGCATCAAGGAGCCTGGTTCTTTCCAGTCTTCTGGGCTGCCTGACCTATTGTGTCAGCCTTGTCCTTGGACTTGCTGTGCTCATGGTTGCAAGGTGTGTGCCACAGTTACAGCCATCACAGGTAGATGCCGTGATGTCCTGTGAAAGAGGAGAGCATTGCTTCCTGCCAGTCTCTCTGCGCAAGGAAACCTTTCCCAGGAACCCTCCACCAGACTTTCCACCGTTGTTATTAGCCAGGATTGTGTCGTGTGCCCATCCATAGCTGGGCATTCAGTTGTTGCCTTGAACCTGTCAGGATCTGCCCCTGGACCTGGAGCTACTTCAGTCCTCTTGTTCAGTCACATGGGGGCGGAGGGCTGGGTATCTGAGAATCAGGTGGGGAATGGCTGGTAGGTGTTGGGTGTCGCACCTCATGCGGTGGTTGTGAGGGTTAGTGAAAGCGCATGGGCATTCCTAGTTCAATACTTTGTTTGATTCTCCATGAATAACGGCTGTCACTATGACAAAGGTCTGATTTGTTCACCTAACCTGTGCTCAAGTTTGGAGCCATTAGGGACAGCTGTAATGACCTCATTACCTGGTGCCCAGTTCTGAGCTTGAATCTATATAGCATTCTATGCTGAGGAAGCGTTGGGTTCACTACTGATCTTTGAGGCAGAGGCACCTTCATGGAAGTTCATCTCCTTGCTCCTCATGGTTTATTATCTTCTTTAAAAAAACAAATGTGTGGTAAATTTCATGTGACGTATATTTATATATGTGTATTTTACCACAATAAAAACACAACACAAACGTAACACATGCTTGTTAGAACAGTATACTTTCCACCTCTTTTCTTTTTTTTATTTTTATTTATTTTTATTTTTTATTTATTAATTTTTTTTTTTGTGAGTAAGATCAGCCCTGAGCTAACATCCATGCTAATCCTTCTCTTTTTGCTTAGGAAGACTGGCTCTGAGCTAACATCTATTGCCAATCCTCCTCCTTTTTTTTCCCCCCAAAACCCTAGTAGATAGTTGTATATCATAGTTGCACATCCTTCTAGTTTCTGTATGTGGGACGTGGCCTCAGCATGGCTGGAGAAGCGGTGCATCAGTGCGTGCCCGGGATCCAAACCTGGGCTGCCAGTAGCAGAGCGTGCACACTTAACCGCTAAGCCACGGCGCCGGCCCTCCACCTCTTTTCTGAGCACTGGTGTGTACTTGCTCTGGGTTTTAAGCTGTTTCAGTCTGTCAGCAGGCAGGCTGTTGTCAGGGCACCTGATCTGCACGTGCTGCTTTGCCTGAGCAAACCCACTCCATTCACGTTGCCTTCTCTAGCTGTACCTTAGCCGGTGTTAGGAGAGGGAGAAGTATGTGAAAGAAAACAAGTGACCCACAATACCACTGGATTGAAATTAGAACTGAATATTGGCTTATTTTCATGTGGTGTTTTGTGAATGTATATGTTTACATAGTTATCATACTATTCACATATTTTTTTTTTAAAGATTTTATTTATTTTTATTTTTTTCCCCCCAAAGCCCCAGTAGATAGTTGTATGTCATAGCTGCACATCCTTCTAGTTGCTGTATGTGGGATGCGGCCTCAGCATGGCTGGAGAAGCAGTGTGTCAGTGCGCGCCCGGGATCCGAACCCGGGCCGCCAGCATCGGAGTGCGCGCACTTAACCGCTAAGCCACAGGGCCGGCCCTTCACATGGTTTTATAGTCTGGTTTTTGATCTTTTTACTGATACATACAATTTTTTAAAACTTATAAGATGTACTTTCATTTACTTAACTATTTCCTTTGACATTAGATGTAACAGTGTTTCTAGTTTTTTGCTCTTCTAAATATGCTATGATGATTATTTTTGTGCCAAAACGTGTATTCTGTTTCAGATGATTTCCTTAGGGATAGATTTCAAGGAGGGGTTACCAGGTTAATACTTAATGCCAGATTCCTTTCCAGAAAGTTGTACTAGTTTATATTTCCATTAGCAGTATACTAAAGTACCTTCTCATTGCTTATTACCTTGACTTTTCAAAATGGATATGGCATGTTCATTTTCTAAAAGTACTAACTCCAATCCCTTTTTTTAGGAAGTGGAAATGATGAAAGCTGCATATCGGAAAGAACTAGAAAAAAACAGAAGCCATGTTCTCCAGCAGAATCAGAGGCTTGATACCTCCCAAAAACGGATTTTGGAACTGGAATCTCATTTGGCCAAGAAAGACCATCTTCTTTTGGAACAGAAGAAATATTTAGAGGATGTCAAACTGCAGGCAAGGTAACTTCCTTTGGGAAAGGTTTTTGCACTGATGTGTTCTTTGTTACGTGAAACTTCCTATATTCTGGGTTGGTCTGTGTCTTTCAGAGGACAGCTGCAGGCCGCAGAGAGCAGGTATGAGGCTCAGAAAAGGATTACCCAAGCGTTTGAATTGGAGATCTTAGATTTATATGGCAGGTTGGAGAAAGATGGCCTCCTGAAAAAACTTGAAGAAGAAAAAACAGAAGCAGCTGAAGCAGCAGGAGAAAGGTAGGAACAAAGAGTTGGCATCCCTGGCCTGTCATTAAGCTCCCACTAGCAGAGCAAGGATGGCATTGTGTGGTGCTAGAAGCAGTTCCAGCCTGATTAGACAGGGCCGCAGCACTCAGCTCTCTCTGTTCCAGTGCAACACCTGACTTCTCTTTCTCAGAATGCCCAGTGATCTTCCCGTGTTCCCCTTCCTGGGCCCTGAATCACTTGATATGGTCACAGGAAGTATTCATGTTGAAGACTGCATCTAACATCCCTAGTTTGGATGTACATTTCTCTTGATGAGATCTCATGCTTGAGTCTTCTGTTGTAAGACACGGCGGCTAGCAGAGTTCAGTGTCAGTGCGAGCGAGCGTTAGTGTAATTCCATGCCTCCCAAACACGGATGCTGCCATCACCAACTCCTTTTCCCCTCCCTGGATTTCTTACAGGCTTGACTGTTGTAGTGACGGCTGCTCGGATTCTGTAGTAGGGCACAATGAAGAGGCATCTGGCCACAACGGTGAGACCAAGCCCCCCAGACCTGGCAGCACCCGGGGCAGTAGTGGAAGTAGAGGTGGCGGCGGCAGCAGCAGCAGCAGTGAGCTTTCTACCCCGGAGAAACCCCCAAACCAGAGAGCAGGCCTCTTCAGTAGTCGGTGGGAAACTACTGTGGGCGAGCCCTCTACCAGCATCCCTACGACTGTTGGCTCACTTCCCAGTTCAAAAAGCTTCCTGGGCATGAAGGCTCGAGAGCTATTTCGTAATAAGAGTGAAAGCCAGTGTGATGAGGACGGCATTACCATCAGTAGCCTTTCTGAGACCCTAAAGACAGAACTGGGCAAAGACTCAGGTGTGGAAGCCAAGACTCCCCTGAACCTAGATGGCCCATACCCATCTCCCCCAAACCCAGACAGTGTGGGACAGCTCCGTATCATGGACTACAATGAGACTCATCATGAACACAGCTAAGGATGATGGTCAATCAGTGTTAACTTGCATTTGTTGGTATAGAAGAGGAGGTGTGAATGCACGTTTCAAACCTTTCCTATTTCCAGGGTCTGAGTGGCTAGCTCACGCAGTGGAAATGGGATGGAGGTCTTTTTGACAGTTGACTGAATGCGGAACGGTTTTTGGATCTGGCATTGAAATGCCTCTTAACCTTCCCCACAACCCACCCCCAAACCTCTCTCTCATTTACCTAGCAGTGTGTACTAATCCGAGGGCCAGTTTGCGTTCCTCAGTAGCTTTATTTTCTTCCTTTTTCTCCCAAAATGGTTGCGTCCTTTGAACCTGTGCAATATGAGGCCAAATTGAATCTTTGAGTCTAACACACCACTCTCCTTTCCTGAAACTGAGGTAACGGGGTTGGCTCTCCGTTAGCCCAGGTAATTGGTGGCGTCGCAGGTAAGTCTGATTCTGTCCCTTTCCAGGAGGATGTAGCGTGCAGAGTGACCATCTTCACATGAAAGCTTTTACATTAGACTGTTTCACTGCTTTTGGTTCTGAAGTTCAGTATCTAAAGCAGCAGATCTAGAAAAACAATGGTTTCTTCACCCTTACGTTCTTTTGGCGGTTCTGATAAGCTTCCTAGAAAATTCTGTGTGAACAAACGTCTGTTGTTTGAAAAGTCTGGAGCTGGCACTGTGGAGACCATACTCCCCTTTGGGAGTGCTCTGTCCCCTTTCCCCACTACCTCTTATTTATTTGGGGTTTGCTCGAAAGCTGGTACTGTTCTGACCAGAGGCTGGTGTGTGGGTGTTAAGACCTGCTCTTGGCAGGAAGGAAGGATGGTGACTGGAGCAGTTACCTGAGATGCACTTGTAGGTGAGGAGGTGAGGAGCTGCCCCTCCAGGCTGGGTTGTGCTAGCTGAGCCTTGTGGTTAAACTCCATCTGTCTGCCTCCGTTTGTGTTCCCTTGCACCTCTTGTGTATGTCAACTTCTTTGTGACGCTGCAGCAGAAAGGCTCTGAAGGTCCAAAGAGTCTCCTCAAAGTTTATATGACCAATGTTTCTCAGGCTGTTAAAGTTGCCTCACTATAGTAGGTTCTAGGCCACCAAAAAGGTAACAGCTTTTTCGCACCAATTCTAACTTTCAGGGGCTGACTCTCCAGGGAGCTTGAAGCTGCTACCCTCCCACACGTTAGGAATGGTAGAGCATTTTAAAGTAGAGTCTTGGAGAGTGTTGGCAAATGCTGGCTGCCATGGACCCAGTGGGCTGCCCACACACACTCATGAGAGGTGATACCAGTCAGAACACTGGCAGTGGCAGAGAGTCTGAACTCAGCAAATGCTCCTGAAATAAATGCTAAAAGCCTAAGAATTATTGCCTAGTGTTCCAGCTGAGGCAAGGAGAGACTGGTAGGAAAGAGCCAATGAACTTGGTTTTTCTCTTTCTGTTCTTTTAGTTAAAAGTATAGAAGGGTTCAGCCATGAAGAGGGACAAACTGTAATGGTACGAAATCTTACTGCATATGGAAGCTTCCAGCACGTAAGGGTAAAGGTCTCTTTTTTTAACTATGGCAATAAATATTCTAGTATCCCTAACAAAGGGAGCTAGATAATGAGAGACTCCATGTCACCAGGGCTATACTGGCAGAAGATCTCCTTGGGACAAGATTTTCAGGTGTGACTGACTGATTCCCAGCTTGAGAGAGGGTGTGGACCCGACTGCGCTCAGCCCAGCATGGTGCTGGCAATTGCTGCTGGATGTCCAGTGTGGAGTGTTAATAACACCACACATTTAATTCAGCTTTGTCCAAAGGAAAGCTTAAAATCAAACACATTCTAGTTTCCTGGTTCAGTTTTAGAAAAGGAAAACATGAACAAATTCAGAAAGGAAAAAAAATGTTTCAGGCTAACAAGTGAAACCAGTTCTAAATGCTTGCCCCCTCCCTGAGCCCAGGAGATCTGTGCCACAGAACAAAGATACCAGGGGCTTTAGTCAAAGCCTTTCCCCTGACCAGCTGGCAATGGCCAGGAGGCCAATGTGAAGAAAAGAAAAAAATTTCTTTAAAAAATGGGCAGATTGTAAAAATATAGGAAAGGAGGAGGCAGTGTGGTGAAGTGGACTGAGGCCTGGGCTGGAGGCTCTGTGGGCAGGTAGGGACCACCATTCCTCCAGCCTGGGTGTCCATTTGCTCAGCCTTACAACCACAGCTGACCCAGAAGAGCTGCACTCAACTTCCTTTGGCTTCTAGGAGGCCATGGGTTTTATTCAGCCATGGCTGGGGGATTGGAGCCTGGAGTCCTGTTGATATTACCCAACCTAAAAATTTAGGCTTTTATGTTGCAAAGGACTCGAGTCAATAGTAAGGTTTGGTTTGGTTTTGAAAATGATAAACCTGCCAAGAGTCATTGGGTGACTTGATCATCATGCAGTAAGTAGTTTTAAGAATGGAAAGGTGACAGTAGAGGAACTCCTGAGAGAGAATTCAGGCCTGGGAACAGGCAGGGCCAAGGTATTGGAGCAGTTAGCATTACAGGCAGGTCCTATCTTGAGACTGATTAAGCAGCATGGTATTCATAAATGTAAGGATTGGATAGCCTCCATCCAAAGTCACTCTGAGCAAGCTTACCTGTCTCAGAGCTGTTTGGCCAATATCTGTAACTTACTCTGATCCCCACCTGACACTAACTAGGGTCAGCACAGACCCTGAGAAGATTGCAGTCTGGTTCTTGGGCAGCATGAAATTTGTTTTAAAAGGAGCACTACAATATTATTTGGCAGGTTGAGGTGGGGAGCAGCTGAAAGGGGAGGGGAAGAGGAAGATGGCATCATGGTCTCCGTAGAGAAAATGAGTTCCCGAATCCACTGCAGGTGAAGCAGCACATGGATCTCTAGCAGACAGAACTTTGATGGATTTTAGAAAAGCTTTTGACAAGGCTCTGCCATAAAGTCTATATAAATTGTTACTGTGGGATTGGAAGAGATATCTGGTTATGAATAAGAAAACTGACTGAAATCCAAAGGTAGGACATAAAGGCCATTTCTTGGGTCAAGAGGTTTTAAAAGGTCTCCTCGGAGATGAGTGCTAGGACCAGCCTTGTAGGATGGGTGAGGAGACGTGACCTCCCAAGGTATGTCAGCAGAGATGTTCAGGAGAGAAAACTGCCTACCCTTTGGGAATAAGCTGCTGAGGGTTCTTATTAGGCTCTGTAAGTGGAGAGAGAAATGATAAATAAGCTACTTTGTGAGCCAGAACACGTGTACTGTGTTTAGGGGGAAACAGTCTGAACTCTTCTTGAAAAGTAAACTGTTACAATCCAGGAAGAGGTCCTGGATGCCGCTGGCAGTTGGAAGAATTAGCCCATCATGCCACCGTGGCCAAAGAGGCCAGCACCTCACTGGGCAAAATCAGGACAACAGGAAACAAACTCCGACTCTGGGCTGTGCTCGTTTGCAGCTCGTGTGGTTGCTGGTGTTTCTGTTGAGAGAGATGAAACTCGAGCAGGTGTGTAGAAGAGGATGAATGGAATGGTCGTGGCAGTGAGTGGATTTGTGTGAGCTGGACCACAGAGGTTCAGACTCACAGTTAAGAATAAAAAATCGGGTGTTTCTGTGTAGAGAACATCACAGATGTGCTGTGACTAGCCAATGTGAATTTTACCAAATACTAGAACATACCACTTGAAGCCGGAAAGAAATAACTGAAGAACAAATGGAAGAAAGTACTACGTGAAGATACACAGTTTTTCTAACTGAAAGCACTAAAAGGTGGTAGAAAGTTTGAACAGGTTTAAGGAGGGTTTGAGTGGAGTGAAGGCTCAGTCCAGACTTGCTATGGAGGTGGAGTGCCACGCAGCTTTTGCGGATGATCTCAGAGAGGCCAGCCCTCTCTGCAGAGTGGTCCTGGGAAAAGCCCGATCCCACCCAGGAACGTCCGTCTCACGTGGGGAAGAAAGCTGTCTTTTGTGAAATGACCCAGTTCAGCACACCTTACTCTGCTACATTTTCACTCTGGGAGGTACATGCTTTACAACTGACCAGCAATGAGTATGGGAAAATGGATCCAGTCTGAAGATGTTCGTGTATCTGTTTACATCCAGAGTTCTGTGACATGTGCCCTTGCCCTCCCTCTCCCCCAGACTGCTGCAAAGGAATTGATTGCACTTGATTAAGCTTTTCTCTGTAGGTGAAAGAACAAGTTTAGGTCGGGGCCTGGCCCCTCTACTGCTGCTGTGACCCTTGTCCCCACGTGGCTCGTTTCCCCACCCATGACTCTGGTGTGCCCAGGGAGAGCGGTGTTTCCGTCTTGTCCACACTGTCCTGCAGTCTGTATATGCTCACCTGAGAGGCGAGTGGCTGTAACTACAAGGGAAACCTGCCTGGGATAGTTGAGCACCTGCGCCCACGACTGCTTTTGGCCTTGAAATGAGTTACTGAAGGCAGAGGAGCTTTCTCCCCCTCTTCCCTTCCCTTCCCTTCCCAATGCCACCAAGTTGTCCATCCTCTGGGATAAGTAGGTTAGTTGAACCATGGGACTAGATCTTTTAGAGGAGACCCCTGCTAGTTTGAGACCCCCCAGACCAACCCTCCTCCCTTTGCCCACCTCGATACAGTGTTTGGACAGGAGGGTACGTGCTGCTCTGTGCAGCAGACACTTGGCTAATCAGAGAGGCAGCCAGGCATTTTGCACTAGGAAGAATCAGTGATCACTTTTCAGAAGACTTCTGTGGACCATAAATATATTACGGAGGAACAGATTTTGCTAAGACATAATCTAGTTTTATAATCAATCATGGATCAACCATATGTGGCTAACTTGCAGTTTAAAGGGGTCCCATCAGTGAAAAACAGATTTTTTTTTTAACTGACTGCTTTTAGTTAAATTTAAGCAAGTCATCTCTTGTCAAAAGGTTTCAGCCTTCCCGCCTCAACTTAAAAGCATGTCAAACAATCCACATCAGATGCCATAAACATGAACTGCAAGAGAAAATGGTACAATCTTAGTGAATGGGAATTGGAAACAAAAGGGTTTGCTGTCCTTCTTAGAATGTTCTAAAATGTCAAGGCAGTTGCTTGTGTTTAACTGTGAACAAATAAAAATTTATTGTTTTGCACTACTCTGCTGTGTTGACATGAAGTGACTCATGTCGGCCTCTGCGGACCTTACAGGCAAAGCAGGGACCAGTCCAAAGATGCAAGAACCTCAGGGTCTGGATTGGTTGGTTACCTCAGGTGACTGGAGGAGGGTGTGACAAGTGGAGTCTGGCTTTAGTCTCTGACCCTTTTTGTTCTGGCAGATCACTTGGCAGACAGCCACAAATCCCATCCTTATCTGCCTCAAATTCATGCCCTTCCCCTGAATAGTGGCGTGGTGGTGTGGGAAGGGCTGACTTGAGTCATCTCTGCCAGAAAACTCTCAAAACCAGGCTGCCGTCCAGCCTTGCTTTCAGTGTGTGCTTGCATTCCTAGGGGTTGGCCAGCACGTTGGGTTTAATATAGCCCTTTTGGTAGAACCTAAGTGACGTTGACATTGTCAAGAGCTTACTGAGCTTGAGCCTTGCCGGTTGTATTTTGTGAGTGTGCCGAGGAAAATGTGCAGCTAGCATCCACCGCCTTCCACATGCCCTCAGCTATTTGGAAGAAGGCAGGAAACAACCTTTAAACGATGGTTAGATCTCCCCTGGCCTTACCATCTCTTGCTTGAGGCATGCTGGGAAAGGACCAGGGATGAAGAGCTCCATTTGCAATGTGATTTTCAACTGCTTGCCCCTGCCTGGCTGCCCCTGGAAATCGGTATGCTCTGCCCATTTTAATGGAGGAAGCAGATCCTTTAAGACGAAGACTCAGAGGTGGCAGTTTTTAATTTTGTCTAGAAAATTCAGATGTTCTCGTCTAAATAGGTCTCTAACTATACAGGGAGTTACTGTGCTGGCCTTCTCTAGGTCTTTGACACGAACCTCTTCCAAGCAAAATCTTTTGGAGCTGGGTGTACTCCTGTCTATAGTGGCTGCTCTTTGCTAGTTGTTTTGCTTGGGAGGCTACTGCCCAATGTCCTCTGATATCTTAAAATAAATGTAGTTTAAGGGATGAGTCCCCGGAAACCACGCCAGGCAGAGAGGCGGTAGAACACATTTTATTCTTGACTGTCGCCCCCGAGGAAGCAAGAACACAGAAGCTAAGTCGCCCCCTGTGAAGGGAAAAACCAACAGTCAGTACTTCTGGCAAGCTCAGAAGCCAGTGACACATTTTACAAAGTGTGGGCCTCAATTATGTTGTGAAAATCAGGTAATTGTCCTTGTACAGGAGCCACAACATCAGAATTCTTCCAGCTTCTCCCATCGTGTTCCTCTCCCAAGTAAAGGAGAAGATAGGCAGGTTCGTTTCCCATTGGGCTTTGGTCCAGAGACCTAAGCGCACTGAGCAAGTTCAGCATGCTGACCCCTCAGCCTCCTGGGAGGTGGGAGCAGAGAGCAGTTCCTCTCCTACAGTTGCTGCCGCGGCGGGAAAACAGCTGTGCGGTCTCCCCTGGGAGTGAAGGCAGAGGAGCTTTCTCCCCCTCTTCCCTTCCCAATGCCATAAAGTTGTCCATCCTCTGGGATAAGGTGGCTCAACCTGGAAAGCTGGACCTGCAGTGTGGACAGGCCTGGCAGAGTGGTGGGTGAGAGCTCCAAGAGGACCTGGGCAGGCAGGCAGTGCCCCTAGCGCTTTACCAGCCTTCCCAGGACACCCTCTACCCACAACACTGTAAGTGGGGGTCCTCTTCATCAGCACAGAGCCTGACGCTCAGAGGTGAAGAAGTTAGAAGTTAAAGCAAGAGCGGGAGAGAAGTTCTCACTAATATACTGGGCAGTCCCCTTTGGGGTTAACAAGCGGCAGGGACTGTGGGCGCCAATGAAAATAGATCAAGCAGTGGAAACCACATTTAGTAACAAAGCACCTCACATGCGGGATTGGGAAGGGGATACAGCAGGTCACCGGCTGAGTTACAGTTTCCCACCAGGTGGTCTCCAGGGAGGTTTAGAACATCCTTTGTCTTTCCCCCTGGGTTTGAGGGTGTCTTTTGTAAGTTGCCTACACTTGTGTTTTCTTAACCAAGGCTGGGTGCCTGTGGTCTGGGAAGGACGAGTGGCTGCCCCAGTGGCTTCCTGGCATGCCGGGGGCTCACTCACAGGCTGCAGCACTTTGCGGGGCAGCTTCTCCGAGTGGGCGATCCATTCTTTCATTAAGTCTAGGATGATGGGGATGAGGCTGACCACACCTCCGTAGTGGTTCCTGGCCTCGTCACAGCTGAGGTGGTTCACCACGTCATGAGGATACCTGCAGGGCGGCAGGAGGGCCGGTGAGCCCCACTCAGGGACTCGCCCGGGGTCTCGAATCCCCATGGCACATCAGAATCCCCTCAGGAGGCTTTAGAACTGTGCGTGCACCATGCCCAGCTCTGTTCGGGACATTGTGGGTCAGCAGGTTTAGGGGCCGAGAGCCCCAGGTAATCCTGGTGTGAAAGGCAGGAGGTGCGAAGCACTTGCCTGCGGTTTGTAGAAACCTGGATTAGGGGCTGTGGAAACCTGCTGTGACAGCTCCAAAACACGCTATTTCATTCCTCTGACTCTTCTTCCCTAGTATCTAAACAGCCTCCCCAGGGCTCAGAGTTAGGGAACCACACTGGTGGTGCTGACGCCGTGGGAACGGGCTCCAGACATGTTGCTTCTTTGTGGGCTTCTGGGAACAACTGCTCTCTGAGCCCCCCTCCCTCTGCCGCATGCTAGCTCCAGTGAGGTTTGTGTCCTACTGTGTCTGGGGCCTCAGGATCCCTCATTTTCAATGAAACCATTTGTTGGGTCAGAGTCATTCCAATAAATCAGTGGACAGTAGCCACGTGACTTATCAGTTCAGACTTACCTGCCCTCTGAACAAAAGCCTGCTTCTTCCTCCAGGACCCCTCCTCTCCTGCCCTTGTCCCCGACCCCATCCCTACATGCACACAGTGAGGCCTCAAAACAGGACCAGAAGGGACTTACTTTGCTCTAAGGCTGCTTAAGTCATTGCTTTGGCTAACAAAGGTTTTGCATTTCTCAAGGAGGTTGTTGGTGACCGGGGTGCCCGAGTGCAGGGCTTCGAAGCGCTGGCAGAGCTTGCTCAGCTCCGTGCAGATGTCCAGGAACATGAGCAGAATGCGCCGGTCTGTGGAATTGTTGCAGTGGTGTTCCATGTAGCTCTGGACCTGCAAAGGCCAGCGTGACGTGAGCTGGGGGGCACCAACGTGGTTCCCGGCTGGTTTATGGGGCACATATCCAAGAGCAACCACCTTGTTCCTACCACCCTTCCAGAGTCACGGGGGAGATGCCGTTAACGTTTATGGATGTGAATGTACAGACCACTCCGTATATACAGCTGACATCATTAAGTGTCCCAGGCACTGTGCAAAATGCTTTGCAGGCCTGATCTCACTTACTCCTCACCCTAAACCCTGGGTTTAGGTACCCTGGGTACCTTTTTAAATCCTCATTTTACAGATGAATACTGTAGGCTCAGAGAGGTGAAATAACCTGCTTGGGCACCACTGAAGTGGTGAAGCTGGATTTCACCCCCAGCTCAATGGCGCTGGGCCCCTACCCCTCACCAGTCCCCCTGCACCTAAGCAAAGAGGGCTGGGCCCTGACTTTTCATGCCATGGTCCCACTTAGAGGACCCACTGCTGGGTTGGGCCACCCAGACTGAGGAGCAAACAGAAGGAACTAGAATCCTTTGTAGTTTCATTGTCCTATGTTTCCAAGTAGAGAAAGGAGGGATAAGTCAGGAAGTGGAGCTCAGGAAAATGATGATCCACACGAGAAACAAATGTAGTCTCTACCTCACACCATCGACAAAAGTCAGCTAGGAGGATGAAGGGCTTAAACACCAAAAACAAAACTAGCCCTCACATATGAAGGTGTTTTAGATGTGGGAGTAGGAAAACCTTTCCTGAATCAAGTCATAAAAGGTGCTAAGAATAGTGATACAGCTCATTTACTTTCATTGCTTTCCTTGGGGGGAATGGGGATCCTGCCTGGGTCAGGGCTCTTTCTCTCCACGGTGACCCGGGACCATTCAGTGACTGGATTCGAGGTCGGGCAGGGGTGGGAGGCCTGACTTTGTGCTGGGGAGGACCTGGCTCCGGGCCAGGCAGGAGTAACTGACCCCTTTCACAGTCTCCACCACCCAGTGGAAGGGGCATCACCTACCTCCTCTAGCACCCAACTTCTGAGTCTAAACCGGAGGTTTCCTGCTGCTACCAGCTGCCTTTTTGATGCTAAGGGATGTCTTCCCAAATGATCTGAAGTGGTTCCTTCCCAAGTACAGTAGCTTTGTAAGGGGGAAGAACCTACACCATGGTGTAACCACAACAGAGCAGCATCACTGGGCTACCTGGCGTGTGTGCAGGTAACCTTTGGATACCTCTAGTCCAGGGAGGGCAGCCTGGGGGTTGAGAGTCAACACTTCAGATGGAGAGTCAAAATGTGGGGCCATTGTTTACCAAAAGCCTTCGTTGAAGCTAGGGCACGAAGGCCGCACCCTTATGTATGGGAGAGGGTCACTCAGCACTGATGTAGATTCTGAGCAGAGGTGAGGGGTCTCAGGTGCTCTTTCCTGTAACTGAAAACCTGTCCAGTGCCCTTGAAGTCTGAGCCTTTGGGGGATGGGCTAAAAAGGATGCAGCCAGTTTACTTTCAGATAGTTCAGGGGAAAGAGCGTATGTGTCTGGAGAGAGCACGCAAACCTGGCTAAATATTACAAATTGATGTATTGAGGTGAAAGTTATATGGGTATTTGTCTACTGTAGGTTTAAAATTTTTCTAGTTAAAAAATTGAAATTTTTACAAAAATTAGAAAAAATAATTTCTTGAAGGGTGCTGCCAGCAAGGGCTGCTGTTCTCCCTGGCCCTATGTGCTTCTCCTGAGCAGTTCTGAGCCCTGGTCCCCACTTACACCCCACCCTGAGAGCGGTTAGCCTTCAACAACCTGACTCTTCTGCAGGTAGCGTCTTTTCAGTCAGAGATGGTTGGGCCTAGTGCACTGAGGGTCAAGCCCATAAGCTCCTGGAAGGCTTGTTGGGTGTTGAGGGCTCCAAGTCCTGCAGAGCCAACGTAGCAGCTAATCCATGAGGAGATGCAAGTCAAACAAAAGCATCTGCCAATGAGACCAGCAATGTGCTGGGCACTCTGAGTTCCTCAAACCCCGTGGAATCCGACAGCGGGGACCATGCACACCTGTTCTTGACTATACCCCCAGGACTTAGCCAGGGCCTGGCAGACAATGCCGGACATGGGCTGAGTGTGGTTTGCGGAGGCTCTCACTAAATCTGCATAACAGCCGTAGGTGGAGTGTGCTGTTTCTCTCATTTTACAGATGAAGATACCGAGGCATAGAGAGGTGACTCATTGGCCCAAGGTCACAGAGGGGGCATGTGATAGAGCCAGGACTTGAACGCTGGCCGGATAAGTCTTGAACCCATGTTTTTAACCACTTTGTTATTCACTCACATATCTGGTGAGTGAATGAATGAATGGCTCATTCCACCACTTAGGATCTGAGTACTGATCCTGGCACAAACGTGCTTCCCCTCTCTGGGCCTCAGGTTTTTTCATCTGTCGAGCCAGGGGACTGGGCCTGGTGTTATGCAGGAATCTCTGGGTCTGGCAGGTCCCCGAGACCCTGGCCCTACCCACCCGTCTGCCCAGGAGGCACGACCTGTCCGATGTTGGTGATGGGCCGGATCTTGTCATGGGCATTCTCCCTGCAGTGCTCCAGAGCGGCGATGAAGGTGAACTGTTGCTGTTGGAAGAGCTTGTACTTCTGCTCGATGCTTCGCAGGGATTCTTTCACTTCATTCATTGTCTTCCTCAGTGGTCATTTAGGAGAGAAGATGAATCTGGGGAGGAAGAGGAGAGCCATGAGGTCCCAGGGGCCAGACCGCAGATCCAGCTCTGGAGTCAAAAGAAGGATGCCCACGGCCCCTCTTGGTGGAGCGCTGCGCTGAGCAGCCCCCCACAACCCTGGGGGGCAGGGACTGTTTCATTCCCATTGTGCAGAGAAGGAAACAAGGCCCTAGGAGGCTGCATGCTTGCTCAGGATCCCCCAGGCTGTCCACGACAGAGCTGAGCCTGACCCAAGTCATTTACCCTCCAAGGACATACCCTTTGCCATGAAATGTGACGTCCTTCCCTCAACTGTGGGCAAGAAGCTCTCTGGTCTCAGAGGTATCTACACACACACACACGGCCTCCAGTGCCTCCCTGTGGTGTCAGCAAAAGCTGGGATCAAGGAACATGCCACAGCATGTACAGTCTGTGATTTTTATCCGTTTGGACCAAATTGTTTTAAAACATCCGCCACTCTGCAATTAGTGGGAAAGTCTAGAGATTCTTTCCCGTGGGCTAAGCAGGGGAAGAGTCAGCACTTGGTTGTCTAGTCTGAGAAGACGCAGTTTCCCTGCTGTGTGCTTGGACCCGGAGCCCTGATCTCAGGTTTGCCCATTCCCAGGGCAGGGGTTGGCAGATGGCGACTCCTCCCTGCCTCCCCTGTTATTGCAGGAATGACCCTGATTGGAAACAATAACGCCACAGGGAGTGCTCTCTTTTGGTTCCTCGCAGACTGTCCCTGGTGTGATCCAGGCGGTCCCACGGGTCTAGAATCTCCTCTGTGAACAGAGAAGGCTGTGGGTTCTGCCCTCCATGACATCACAATTTTGCTGAGCACGTGCCAAATGCTCCAGGTCACAGATTTATAGAATGTTAGAGCTGGAAGGGACCTCAGTAGGTCAACTCCCCTTAACTTCTGGGGCAAACAGGCCCAGGGTGTCACAGCAAGCTTGTGCTGGAGACACCCAAGGTCCCAGGCTTCCTGATGTCTAGCCAGCATCCTCAAATCTGCCACAGCCGGCTGCCCCTCCACCACGAGGCACCAGCACACACAGAACCCAGGCTTGGACATGCCCCGTGTGAGCGGGGGTCAGAGGAGGCTGCGTGAGGTAGGGTCCAAATGAGATGCTGCAAATGGAAGAGGCCAGAATACTTGGCAAGGACGGGGTGGGGAAGGACACATTCCAGGCTTCCTGGCAGGCCCCAGGTGGAGAGAAGCAAGACCAGGATGGAGCCGGGAGACATTTCTTTCTGCTGTGTCTCCCTCAGCTCCTGAGCCCAGAGCAGGGCTGGAGGCAGGGAGGTCATCTCTATGGCAAGAGGAGACGGCATCAAGGATGAAAGGAAACACAAGAACAGACCAGAAGATGGCCTCCACGACATGACGGGAGCCGTAAATCAGAGAACCTGGGGAGGGCTGGGGAGATGGAGCTGCAGTCCTGGGCTGGGAGCTGAAACACAGGTTGCCATAAAGGAGCTGTGCCAGGAGGGACCCTGACAATCACACCCCGTAAACCCCAGTGGGTCTACTGTAAATATAATGGAGCACGCTTCAGCGGCAGCATCCTGAGGCCGCCCCTGGGAGCCATAGCACCTATGTTTGCCAACAGAGCAGCCGCAGTCCACGGGGGACAGGCCTGGTCCAGGGCCAGGCAAGGCAGCGGCGTCCTTCCAGCTCAACCTCCTCCCCACTCAGCCCTCCACCTGAAGTAGGCAAGTGGGAAGGGGAGGCATGGGTGTGGGGATGCAGTGGGGCCCATATACAGCCAAGGCCCCCACCCCCTGCCCAGAGGCAGAAATGGCAGATGCGGTAAACTTGGGGCGTGGCATTTTTCTGTTGTGCCTCCCATGGTGACAGGCTTACCAGGCCCTGGACTAGGGCGGGGAGAGTTAGGCATTCACCTGGGTGCAAAATGTAAGGAGGCGCCAGAAAAGTCAGCAATCAAGACAGATAAGAATGTTTAGTGCACTATTTTAAAACATAAAAGTGAACACCAAAAAGTCCACAAAGAACAAAATATTGGAATTGTAAGTAAAGACAGGATTGGGTACAGTGCTGTGCCTTGCCATACTGAAGCCTGATACAAAAGGAAAAATCAGCAATGCTGATCCTGTCTTTATTTACATTTTTGATATTTTATTCTAAATGGATTTTTGCATTAATTTTGACTTTTTAAGATATTGCATTTAAATATTATTTCTCTTGGTTACTGAGGGTTTTGGTGCCGCCCCCCACCCCCTTAAGTTTTGTGCCGAGGCAGTGCCTCACCGTAGTTCAAGCCCAGGCTTACAAATGACTTGGGAAGTGAAGACCTAGAAGCATGGCACATCAGTTCAGGGAGGAGGAGAAGTGTGTACTGTTAGCCTGGGCTTCCCCCATCACGCTCAGAGCTGGGGCTGGTGGTGGTTAAAAACCCAAGCTCTGGCATCACACAGTCCTGGGTTCAAATCCTGGTTCCGCCACTTCTTGCTGGCCTTGGTCAAGCTGCTCATCTCGGAGCCTCAGTCCTAACCTGCACTGCACGAGACGGCAGGGCTGAGGTGTGGAGCCCAGAGCCTGGAGCAATCAAAGCTACTGTGATTCAACAGTGTGCATCGAGGACGGGGGAATGCCACAACAGGCATGGTGTGCACCCTGAGAGAAGCAGAGGAGGGCAGGCTGGAAAAGAAGGCAGGCTTTAGAGAGGTGGAGAGCAGGCAGGCAGAGCAGGTGGGACCTGGGCTAGAGGTTGGGAGGTGGGGATGTGGGAATATTGTGAGCAAGTGCAGAAGGCAGGGGGGAGGGTAAGGCCGAGGGACCCCAAGTGTCAGGCAAAGCTATGAGAAGAACTACTAAAGGCCAAAGGGGGTAAGAAGCACTTCATGCATTCACTCATGTTCATTCATTCATTCTGCAGTGTCTACCACATGCCAAGCACTGTCCTGGGTGCTGGGCTATCCACAGCATTGAATAAACAGACAAGATTCCCTACCCTGGAGGAACTTATCTTTCGGAGTGGGAGGCGGATGGTAAGGATAAGTGAATGAACAGTGGTTTAGATAAGGCACTGCTAGAGAGGATGAAGCAGGGAAGTGGGATGGGGATGTCGGGAACGAGGCACTCCACAGTCTGCAAGAGTGGCAGGGCTCCAGTCCTCAGCAAGGTCCTGGACAGCTCACCCCAATCCTCCGAATAACAGCAAATTACTTGATGGGGCTCTAGGAAAACCCTGGATATGCATTATCTCAAGTCCTCGCCACAGCCCTAGAATGGGGTACCATGATTATCTCTACATGACAGATGATGGAGCTGAGGTCACACGCTAGGAAGTAAGCAAGCCAGGGTTTCCCACTCAGCTCTGCCTGACTTTAAGTCTGGGCTCTTAACTTGGATCCCTCCCTCCCTCCCTCTGTGATGGTCCTTAGAGACAAACATGCCAGGCTTCAGATTTACTGTGGCTGGGGGTGGGTGGGTGAGGAATACCAAGGGCCTGAAAAGCTGCGAGAGCCCTTCTAGGGGTCATGCTCTAGCTAAAGCCCTGGGCCTCGCTTCCACTCCCACAAGACTGTTCCCCATCCCAAAGCAAGGAGGACTAGCATTCAGGGGGCTGCCCTGGGTGCCTGGCTCCCTGCCACCCTCGGGGGGCCCTCCAGGGCTGCCAAGTTCTCCAGGAATATAGCACTACCACGGCTGGTGGCCCCAGGAGCCGCTGAGAGCAAAACTGACTCGGTTCTTGATCCTAGTGACTTGTGACATGCACGCCAGGAATGTCGTGAGAGAAGCTGTAATAAGCTATCCAAAGTGATCGTCCCTTGAACCAGCCAAATTAGTCTGGATGAAAGGCACAGGGTGCAGGCACTTCTCCATCTGGGGGAGGAGGAAGGGAAAAATGATTACCCAATAGGTTTTAGGTTTTAATTGATTTGTATTTTTCCAGGCTGCTAAAGATTATTAAATCATGGTATGAAAAGCGCCTACGGCTTAAAATAAATGAGGAGAAAGGCAAGTCATTTCAGAAATGTCCAGGAAGCAAACTGAAGCTCTCCAGTGCAAATTGCTGGCTCAGTTGTTGTGTTCTTTGCTCAGGGGAGGCAGCTTCCCTTTCTTCCCCAGCTGTCTTTGCAGTTGGGTTTGACAAGCCGACCAAGGTGTGCACACTTTGAAGAAGCAGTTCTGAGGGGGAGAGGCACAACTGCAGCCTTTTACCCTTGGAGGGCCTGTCTCCAGGCTGGGGGCTGGTGGAAAGGCTTTGGCTAGGAGTCAGGATGCCTAGTTCCAGCCCAGGCTGTGCCTTGGATTAACAAGTGACATTGGCCAAGAATTTCACCCTCTCTGGGCCTCAATTTATCCATCTGTAAAATGAGGGTGTTTGGATTAGAAGCTCTTCCAGGGGCCTTCTGATTCTCATGCTTCGAGATCAACAACTGATGGGGAAAGAGGCCAGAAAGGTGAAATGTCTTGCCCAAAGTCACTCAGCCAACAACTGTTCACCATTCTGATCCTCCAGTTTGTCATCTGTAAAATGGGAATGAAAGTACCTATTTCTCAGGGCTGGTGCAAAGATTAAACGAAATAATATGACTAATAGTGGCCCCTAGGTATTGGGCACTTACTGTGTGCCAGCTACTGTCTAATACTTCAGATATATGAGCTCATGGAATCCTTCCATAATCCCCACTCCAAAGAGGAGGAAAGTAAGAGACAGAGCAGGCTCACACAGCTACAAAGAGGGGGAGCAGGATTTGAACTCTGGGCTGTCTGTATTGACTATGCCATACTCCCTCTCCATAAGGTACACAGACACCAGTTTTGTTGATAGCACAGAAAGCTCAAAAACGGTAGCTCCTACTAAAAACAGCAACGGACAAGAGCTAGAGTTCCCAATTCAGCGCTGCATCCGATACCAGGCTGTCCTCGTCCCACTTGGGATTAACACGGCTCGCAGTGCTCCCTCCCCCGCACCACGTCCCACCCCATCCCCTTCCCGGGGCAGCAGCGGCGGTCCCCTACATTCTCCACTCCCCCACCTCCCCGTTTCCGAACCCGGGGTTGGGGGGCCCGCTCCCGGCCTGTTTTAACCTTGCTTGTCCTAGAGCGGCCTTCTCTCCCAGAGCGCCCTGAAGCTGGAGTGCCTCTGTGGGTGTCTGGTGCCCCGGGGGTGGGGGTGGGGGCTTCCCAGGGCTTGGGAGGCGGCGTGGGTGGGGTGGTGAGGTCGGCGTGGGGGAGCGGCGGGGATTGTTACCGCAGGTGCTATAGCAATCGGGTCACGTGGCAGCCCCGCCCTACCCCCCCCGCCCCGGAGCGGGCGGCGGGATCTCCTGGGGCTCCGACGCTGCAAGTTGGACGGAGAGTTTCCAGCGGGACCCTCGGCCTTTCGGCCCTCTTCTTGAATGCTCCTCCCTCTTCAGACGCCCTCCTCCACATCTATTCTTCATTTTAAAGATGAGGAAACTGAGGCCCAGAGAGCCGAGCCGGGGCTGGCCCACGGAGCTCCTGGGGCCGACGTGCCCTCGGGGTGTTGTCGGGTGTCTCAGCACAGGGGGGCCCCTACCAAGGGCACCTCTGCTCCTAGAAAGCCACAGCTGGAAGGGACCTGAGGTGCCCCGCGGAGACGCGCAGAGGGGAGAGCGAGGCCGCGGCGAGGAAAGCGCTTGCCCCAGGCGGCAGGGGGCGCTGGCCGAGGAGCCCAGACCGCGCCCAGCGCCAGTCTCGCGGGCGGGCGGGCGCGCGCTGATGTCGTAGCGGCGCGGCGCCCCTAGCTACCGCGGTCACCAGGGAGCTGCGCGCGCTGATGACGCAGCGGCGCCCCTAGCGACCGCGGTCACCAGGGAGCGGCCGAGCTGCGCGGCGGCATGGACGCGACCACCGCCCCGCACCACATCCCCCCGGAAATGTCCCAGTACGGAGAGGCGAACCACATCTTCGAGATGATGCAGGTGACGCGGGCAGCCCCGCCCTGTCGCGACACCGGGCGGCGGCCCGGGAACCTCTGTCGCGGTACCGGGTGCGCGCCGGCGACCCCGAAGCTGGGGGGCCACGTTTGTTACCACGGGACCACCCAGCTTGGGGTGTCGACTCCTGTGCCGCCGTGACCCCAAGGGATCCCTGGATCTGAAGACGCCCCCTGGCCCTGCCCGGCGGACCCTGGAGGGAAGAAAGGGGGCACGCCATCCTGGCCAGGATTTGGTCCTGGCTCCGCGCCAGCCGGTTCGATGTCCTGGAACGAGTCCCTTACCTTCCTCACTTCCCCATGTGTGAAATGCCGGATTGCAAGAGCTGGTCTTCAAGGGACTCATCCGGCGCTGACCATTCCCAGTCTGTCCGTAGTGTTGGTTTCTGAGCAGGGGAGTGTCCGAGTTCAAGGTCGCATCCCTGTCCTGAGATGGCCGCCCCCATGGGACAGCTGCCCTGTAGTTTGGACAGCATTTCCCACCTGGCCTCTTGACCTCAGGGCCAGGAGTTCTGGGCGGCTCCCAAGCTCTCATCCCGCCTTCCTGACCTGACTGGTCTCCTGCTCCCTGTGTGGCCTTAGGCGGAGACCTGCCCCTGAATTTGCTCCAGGTTTCCCTCCTGCACCTCCTGGAGGTAAAGGCTTTCCGGAGCTGGACTGGAAGAACTCGCAGCCACTCAGAGGTTCTGAGGGCGGAAGGGAAGCTGGAGCCCAGTTTTACAGCGTTTGTCTCCTCAGGGTCCACTCCATCCCCAGAGGCACCACTGTGCTGACCCCTGTGGTCGTTTGAGCCTCTAACCTGCACACGTGAGAGCAGAGCTCAGGCCAAGAAACCTGAGTCTCCATCTCTCCAGCAAATATATGCTTCTTTTGGGAAGACTTAACTGATGGTGGGAGAGAGAGAGAGATTTCTAAAACCGAGTGGCCAATCTAACTAAAGAAAGTGGCTAGCTTGGTTATAAGTCATCGTTTGGTGGGCGGGACGGGGTCAGCTCCTGGGGCACTGTGGGAAGCTCTAGAGAAGCTGGTGTATCTCACAGCGATTGTTGGAAGGAGCAGCCTGAGAAAGCTTTTGGTCCAGTATCTCCAGTCCTTAGTCATTTGTGTGTTCCCTCCATAGTTTTTACCATTCTTACACTTTTTATTTTAAAATAATTTTAGACCCATGGGAAGTTAGAAAATTACCCTTCACCCAGCTTCCCCCAGTAATAACATCTAACATAACTGTAGTACATTGTCAAAACCAGGCAATTGACATTGGTACAATACTATTGACTGCAGGCCTTATTTGGATTTCATTCATTTTTACCTGCACTTAGTTTTTCAGTGTGTGTACGGTTCTGTGAAATTTTATCACATGTATAGAGTCATATAACCACCACCACATTTCCATTTTAATTTAATCATTTCTTTAAATCAACCCACTTTTTAAAAATTAAGTAACGTTTCTTTATCTCATCCCAAGCAATATCCTTGAAATCATAGATTCGATGTACCAGCTTTTCTAATACACATTAGACATGCAACTATTTAAAAGTGAAATTGAAAGCGTTCATCTGTGAACTGTCTAAAATCATCTCACCATCTCACCAGTGATATGCGAGTAGAGATCTGGTCCAGCCGTGCCATTTATAGGCAGGGAAGCTGAGGCCCAGATAAGGGAAGGGACTTGCTGGTGAGATGTGCAGCAGAGCTGGGACTTCTCACAGTTCAGTGCTTTTTTATTGCCCCATGCCCCCTCTGCCCCCAAAGAGCTAAAGCCCCTCCCTGCTTGTTCTTAGGGCTGAAGGATCCACCTTATTGCACCAGCCCAGCTCTATCGTCTACCTGGTTCATTTCTGTGCCTTTTGTTCTGCAACCATGGAAGCTGCTTTCCCATGGAATTAAGTGGCCAGACTATCCCAGGACTATTTAGATGTTCAGCTGGTAAATATTCTGTCCTACCCTGGAGGGACACAGGTAGCAGTGATGGCCATGTCCTCCAGCAGACCTGTGCATTGGGCACCTACTGTAATTGTGCCAGGCACTGGGACAGGGGTGATGCAATAACGGACACACAGGGCCTGCAGGAGCATATGACAGGATTTACCTAGTGAGTGTGATCAGGAAGGTATGTTTCCACTGAGACCTGAGGACTGAGGAAGAAGTGTTCAAGCTGAGGGAACAGCATTTGCTAAGGCTCTGAAGGATGAATGAGCATGGTGCATGAGAAGATCTGAGAGAAGGCTGCTCTGGGAAGCACAAAGAGACTGAGGGGAGAGGGCCCTGAGACTACCTGCTTCTGAGTTAGGGGCACAGTCCCTCCAGCTCTGCCTCTCTCCAGGTGCCTCCCCAGCAAGACCCACACGGCCCCTCCTTCATGCCTCTGCTCATGCAGACCGAAGCAGTTGCCAGCTGGGGCAGGGGCTGGGTCCCAAGTTGAAGGCATGGTTGGTGGGGTGCAATGGAGAGATCAGGTCCCATAATCAGTATCCATAGTGCCCAGGATGCTGGGCCACTTCAGCCAGGGTCCTGGGTGCCTATGCAGGTGTTAACCACCTGGACGTCTGCCTTGTGCCCGCAGAACATGCTGGAGCAACTCCTGATCTACCAGCCCAAGGACCCCATCCCGTTCATGATTAATCACTTACAACTAGACAACGATAACGGTGAGCACTCGGTGGGTCCCCTCCTCTCCCTGTCCCCCTCCCCTCCCCTACCCCTCCCCTCCTCCTGGGAACAGCTGTGAGCCACTCTATCCTCCCTGTGTCTAAAGGGAGGTCAGAACAGGGTAGAGAAGGGTTTTGACACCTTGGGGTGGTGGTTAATTGAAAAATACCTTAACTTCTTTTGGAGCACGACTAATAAAAATTCTGTTGCCAAGTTATTAAAATAAAAACCTCAGAATAGCCCACGGAATCAATTATTAATGCTTTTTCGTGCCCCAGCTGATGTCACCTGTTGGGTTCAAGCTCTGTGATTACTTGTCAGTTGTAAATTTGGTTTCTGGTCTACCTAGACAGGCAGCATTTGGGTTTTCCTGATGGTCTCATTATCAGCCCCTGATAATGAGTTCCAGAACTCCCCAAACCTTGGCCCTTGTACAGGTTGGCCAGACCCAAGGCCAGAGCGTGGAACGTGGCAGGAGGGAGAGGAGGTGCTCCGTTCCATGGTTGATTTGCCGAGTGGAGGATCGTTCCCATCCTGTGTGAGCTGTCAGGGAGAACTGGTGTCTCGGAGCTTTGATGTTTCTTTCATTGGAGCATTAGCTGCTTTGAAGAAGCTACCAGCACACCACTGAAATTAGCATTAGGTGCAGCTGAGGAGGCCGGAGGCCGGAAATGCCCCATGGTGGGGTTCAGAGGCCTAAGATGAGAAAGGACACTAAGTAGTTTAGAGAAAAAAATAAAATAAAATAAAGAGAGAAGCGATTCCTAGCACCAGGCATGCCTGGCCTTTTCAGCGTGCCCTGCCCGCAGGTCCCTATGTAGTCTCAGGCTTGGCTGCGTCAGTGAGGGACTTCTTGGTCCCAATGCCATTTCACCGACCTAAGCAAGGTGGTTCAAAGAGCGCGCCACAGTGCCCTTTTCTGAGCCTCTAGTTAGGCAGGATTGAGAACTGGCGTTGATTTGTAAGCCCTTATGCCCCAGGTGAAGATAGAGCCATGACTGTGGCGGGGGTGGGGTGGGGACAGGAGAACCACCTTCTGGAGCTGTCCACCCTGCCTTCTAGCGTTCCTGGTGTGATTCACTCTTCACTCCGTCCTCTGGTTGGCGCCGGTGGGAGGTTCACCTCGTCTGCAGGATGGGTGTTAAGGCACCTTCCTTCCTGGTGGTCCTGCTACAGACTGCAGGTCACCGCCCAGGCCTCACCAGTTGGCCCTCCATTCACAGGAGGAAGATGTTTCTGCATTCCCACTTCCCCCCAGCCCTGAGGCTGGACGGGGCTTCGGGTTGCTAAGCTGTCTTATCTAAGGGCTGCTAGGAGCATTTCTGCCCATGTTCAACTCTCTTGTATTGCCACCACCAAATAAAGGCAGCAGAGCGAAGTGAACTTAAAGTAAGAGCAGAGCAGAAGCAAAAGGACAGCAAAGGTGTGGGTCAGTGAAGTGCTCGCTTCCTGCCATCCCACCGCCAGGGCCCCTTCAGTGCACTGACCTCCAGTTCTGCTAAAATGTAAAGAGGCGGTGAGAGATAACTGCTCTCTCTTGGCCTCAGTTTCCTCATTTGTAAAATGGGCGTGTTTGGTTAACTGAGATGGAGGCGGTGAAGCTCTGGCCTGGTCCGTGATGACTGGTCAGTGACAGCCGCCAAAGGAATGACCGGGTCCTGATGCTGCCATAGGGCCTCAGGCACTGCGATGGCGGGTTTCCACTTGTACAAAGCCGCATGAGATTTTTCTAAATTAAAAATTGTACTTGATGATAATGTAACCATTTGAACTCTGATAAGTTGGGTTATGATGGTTCTTCATGCTGCTGGTTTGATAAATTCTGCTTAGGGCCGTATGTGCCATGCTGTGTGTTCTTAAACCCTGAACCTCAAAACCTAGCCAGTCTCCCTGGCTAGAAATTCATGAGCCTGAAATTTGAGGCAGATTCCACCTTTTTTTTTTTTTTTAATAATTTTATTTACTTATTTTTTCCCCAAAGCCCCAGTAGATAGTTGTATGTCATAGCTGCACATCCTTCTAGTTGCTGTATGTGGGACGCGGCCTCAGCATGGCCAGGCAAGTGGTGTGTCGGTGCGCGCCCCGGATCCGAACCCGGGCTGCCAGTATTGGAGTGCGAGCACTTAACCGCTAAGCCACGGGACCGGCCCGAGATTCCACCTTTATGTTTTGATCTTGCTCCTCTCTGTGCCTGTATAGTTCTCAGTGTCCACTTCACGAGAGTTTTTAAGTTCAAACCTCATGTTCCAGTTTTACATGCAGTGAGGCCGACATCTGCTGGACAGTCCTCTTGAGCGCTGGCCTTAAAGCCACCTCTGCCTCCTCCTTGCTCCCTTCACTCCCTCCTTCCACCCTCCTTAGCACCTCTTTCCATTCGTTCATGGGTCTTGTGGCTTTCCAAGGCTGCCCTCACTGGACCCTTTACTCCTTGCTCCATGTAACACCTGGTCTGTTGCTCTCATGCAGGGGCGAAGAATCAGACCTGCTTCGTTGAGCTCCAGTCTGTCCTCCTGAATAGGTGGAGTCAAGGTTTTTGGCCCAGATGCTCTCAGGGAATAGAGTCATTGGATCCCAGTAACCACTGTTTTGGGGGGTTGATTTGTTCCCACAGCCCTTCACCCCGACTCCCAGGCCTTGGACTAGCAGTTCTTATGGATGTTGGAACACCTTTGCCCTTTGGCTCAAGTCCCAACCGCTTACATGAAAAGCAGAGAGGGACATCTGTGGGTTTCCCTCTTCATCCCCAGGCCTCCACTGACAAGTGCAGCAAAAACGGGGGAGGTGGGGAGGGGGGGGAGAAGACCATGCTTTTGTGATTTTTCTAGGAGTGGGAGGAAGCTGTAAATAGTTTAATCCAAACTTTGCGTGTTCTGCAAGAAGACAGGAGGCACAGAGAGGTCCCCTGACATCCAGTGAGCATTTCCGCTGCCCTGGGCTCATGTCAGCCCAGGCCCTGTGTTACCTGGAAGCTGGGCTCTCAACCCTCTGCTTACTGGGCATGGGTGTTGGGTGGGCAGCGGTTCACTGTGACACACAGTGACATGGCCAGTGGCTGGAGTAGACGGAGAGAAGGTTCCGGACTCATCCCAGTGAGCGAGCACATGAGGGAATGAGGGGAGCCACTGGCACACTGGCTGGCAGCCCCTTCTCCGAGAGAAAAGCAGGTTTAGTACAAAGTGAGCATTTACAGTAGCCCTGGGCAATATTAAAGCAGGCAATGGTATGTATAATGGTATGTTTCGTTTTTTATCAAACGTTTGTCCAAGAAAGCTGTGTATTAGAGCTCCAATACCTAAGGGTTTTCTTGTGAATTTTAAATCATGCTCCTATTTAAACCTCAAAAGGATCTGTGGATGGAAAGGTTTTTTGATTTCCTTTGAAGTGGTTTGAAGAAGTTGATTACTCTTGGCAGTCAAGCAGCCTTTTATGACACTGTTTATAAATAATTACTCATGAGCAGGGCTGGAGTTTCAAGGTGTTAGATTTTAAGAAACTGAAATTAATCACATAAATGTGTGCAAGAAATTAGGTGGGAGAAAGGCCGTGGATGTTCCCCTTTTAAAGCGTTTTCATAGATGTGTACAATTTGGGTGCTACTTAAGGGAGCGTGGAAGGGGAGGGTTTCCCCAGCAGCCTTCGAGCCCTGTAACTTTGTCAAGAAGAATACACAACTTGGGAGTCAACTCATTGCCTAAGTGCTCTTGTCAAGATAATCTCCCTTCTCCTGGGGTTCCGCAGGCCCTGAGCCCTGTTGGGTCTGGCCCCCGTTCCGAGGAACTGTAGTGGAGGCCTGTGCGTAGAGCCCTGCAGAGGCAGCGGGGCGGTGGGCACATGAGCCAGACCCATGTCCCCCAACTAATCCCTAACTCTGGCTTTCGCAAGCAGGCGTTCTCCCCACGGTCCATGCGAGCTCTTTGCTTCATTGTACAAGGTCTCTCTGCCCTTGACCTCCCTCCCTGCTGCTCTAATGCTGCCCCTCCCCCCAAACCTTCCATGGCACCCCGTGGAAGTTCCAATCCCCCTCATCATGTCACCTGACCAAGTGTCCCCAAAGCCACCTCATTTCCAGACCCATCCTGTAAGCAGTGTTTTCTACCTACTGTGGCTTCTCTCATCCAGGTGGGGGCCCGGAAGGCCTTGCCCCAGATTACATGGCCCAGAGCAGAGAATAGACTGCCTTCTCTGGGACTGTGTCCTGATCTTCACCAGTGAGGTGAGCTCAGACTCTGGACATAGCCTGGGGGGCACTCTGCCTGGGAGCAGCGGAAAGCCATGACATGTGTCCAACTCCTCATGTCCTTGAGAAGAGAGCAGTTCCTTTGTCAGAGACTGGGGTATGGAGGGTGACCGCTCCCTTTCAGTCCTCGTCTAATGCAGTTACCTCACTAACTTGTCACCAGGGGCCGTGGTCCATCCTGCTTTTCTCGACAGCATGCAGTCCAGTGCTGAGTATGGATGAGGCACTCGAAGAGTATTTGTGAAGTGAATCAGCAAATTATCTTGAACTTTTTCTCCACATTTTCCCTGAAAATGAGAAAGTACTGTGAATTTTGGCAAAGGTCTGTTTAACTCCAAGCAGCCTGGCTGGGTGTCGGGTGCTGATCATTAAATGGTGAGCCACATGGACACTCTAGTTCCTTCTCAGGGTCCACTTCCAAACTAGGTGACGCACGTCCATCGTCCTCTGCATGGATGGGGTTCCCTCTCAGTGGCCTGGCAGGAATGGGCTCTGCGTATAGACAGTAGAGGCTCACGCCTCTAGGGGGATGGAGTGCACATCTGTTCATCCGCCCCTTGGGTCAGGGGCCAGGCTAATGGTGGCAAAGGCCTGGACCTGGTTTCCGCGACCTCTGTCCTGTGCCCTCGCTCCCCACAGGTAGGGGGAGAGGGTGACACAAGCAAGGTGGCACTTGGGGAGGAATCAGCAAGGCTTCACCTGTCCACACACCACGTTCTGTTGCCTTGTTTTGACCCAAGCACACACGCCTTCAAGCGCTCCTTTTAAGATACTGGTCTTTTCTTTCCCAATGGCCAGCACCTACTCAATAGTCCGGTAGCCGCTTTAGGAATTCTGCAGGGCCAAGAACCTTCCAGAGCCAGGAGTCTCACACGGAAGCAAGCAGCCACTTGTTTCTATTTGCACAGAAATGCCCATACTTGAAAACAAAGACTTTCCTATCTGGGGTTTTATAAATCTGGCCCATACACTCCAGGCTTTTCCCCATTATTTCCCTCTGTAAAATGATGAGGAGTACGATTTGCTAAATAAATAGGCATAAATATAAAAAAAAAAAAAGCTTTGAAAGTCGATTTACATAAAATACAGCTTTATTTGAGAGCGTGTCCCTGAGACAAAGTCTCTGTTTAGAATGCTTTATGGTGTTTGAAATCCCAATTGTTCTTGATATTTATTAGTTTAGCAAACAAGTTACAGTGTCCATGTCCCTTTGGAGACAGAAAAATAAACCATCTCAGTGATCACTTACCTCTCTAAACACAGAGAATATGTTCTGTGGTGAGAGCATCTCTGAGCTGCTGGGTTACAAACAACCGTGTCACTGGCAGAAATTGAAATCTGGGGAGGGAAGAAATAAATACACCCGGACTACCGCAGACCTGGGAGGTTGCTTTGTCATATCGAGTGGTGACATTCAAATCTTTTTATTCCACAGTGCCGAAGATTGTAATATTAGGTCCACCCGCCTCGGGGAAAACAACTATAGTAAGTGTATCATAGTAAGTGTTGTAATACTGTAATATCTCATTTATCCTGCAGAGCTGGAATGAGACTGCACCTCAGCGGATCTTCAACATCACCGAGCTCTTCTTCTTCTTTTCCGTCTCCTGCTTCTTAACTTCTTTTCTTTTTTTTTCTGTGTGTGTGTGAGAAAGATCAGCCCTGAGCTAACATCCATGCCAATCCTCCTCTTTTTGCTGAGAAAGACTGGCCCTGGGCTAACATCTGTGCCCATCTTCCTCTACTTTTATATGGGACACTGCCACAGCACTGCCTGACAAGTGGTGCGTCTGTGCCTGGCCGGGATCCGAACCCGGGCCGCCAGCAGTGGAGTGCGTGCACTTAACTGCTATGCCACGGGGCCGGCCCCTTAACTTATTTTCTTATTGCAAGAGTCCGTATGTGTTCATAGTAGAAAAGCTAGAAAAGACAAAAAACAAAAATATCTTTACCCACCCATCCAGAGATAAGTATTCTTTTAACATTCTGGGATATACCTTCGAGGGTTTTCTCATGGCTACCTGCCCACTGTCTTTGTACACCCTTCGTTATAAACTTAGGATAAATTTCTAGAAGTAGAAGTGCTGGGTCAAACAGCATACACATTTCAAAGACTTTTGGTGTGGAGTCTTCAGATTTACGCTTAAAATTTTAATTTTGAAATGTTTCAACCAATCAGAGAAGCATAGAAACTATAGATACTCATGTACCCAACTCCCAGATTTTACAGGAATTTATCATTTTGCCTTATTCAGTTTGATGATTTTTCTCTCCATTTTAAAGACAATACAACTTTAAAGATACAGCGGGTACCTGCTCCCACCTCACTCACCCTTTTCCGTCTCTCCCGCTCCTGCAGGCAAGCCCTGTCCTGCAGCTACAGTGCTTCGTTCCACGTGTGGTTTTAATCTTTAAGCTCCTTTAAGTGCCAAAAACTTTTAAAAATTGTAATTGTCTGAGATGGAACTCTTTCTGACCTTTAAAAGCTTGGTTAGTGGAGCTCAGTTGACATCTGTTAACCCTTCCTTGATGACTGTGGTGTTGCTGTGAGCGCGCCTCCCGGGCCTGGGTGATGGTGCAGGCTGCTTCCCCAAGCTAACTGGCACCTGGCTTTATTCTGCAGAGGAATTAAGATGGTTGATTCTTGCACAAAATAACCTGCATCTGCTATGCTTTTGGAGTTATAGCTGTTCTATTTATCTGTCTGTCTACCCATCTGTCCATCTGTCCATCTGTCTGTCAGTCTCTCTCTCTGTCTGTAGTTTTTCTACTTTGTTCCTCAGGATCAGGCTGTCTGCTTTCACTGCTTTCTGCAGTCCACCCACATAAATTGCTGTTTTACTGTTAGAAGCCAGGGGCTCCTGGGCCTGCCATCACGAGCATTAGCAGGGTGCTTTGGAAAACGCAGGTTCCTGGACTCGCCTCCAGACCTACCTATTCAGAATCTCTGGGAGGGGCCCAGAAAGCTCGTTGACACTGCAACTCCAGGGATTCTGACATTGGGAACTAGGGTGGTAGCCTCTGCACCGACATAGAGGAGCTCACTGACCCGTGTTAAAGCAGAATGGGGTCGCTCAGTGTGAGGCGTCTCCTTTGGCAAAGGGCCTTTGTCAGAGACGTTCGACAGTCTGGGACCACCTTGCTTCCTTCCCAGTTCTGGCTCTTCTCTGATCACTGGCAGGGATTTGCTGGGCAGAATTCATGAAGCGAATTCATTTGTGACTCAGAGCACAGAGACTGTCTTTTGTCAAGTTCCAACTTGGCTGAGGCAGGCAGCTTTGTTCTCCCTGATGAGGTCAGGGCCCCACAGCACTTTGCTGGTCTTTCAGCTGCAAGCATTTTGGTGAATTCTCTGTCCCTACCCCTTCAAAGAGTCCTAAAGGGCTATTTCCTGATATTGTCACTGCCGTTTCTCAGCACAAGGAACAGAGAGAATTAAGGTTTATACCTGCACGGGGACCAGCAGGGCCCTCTGAATCGTCCTGACGCTGAAATGGTCATCAGTATAATCTTGGTATTAAGAACATTTTACTGCATCATTATTCCTTAAAATTTATTCTTCCCCTGTAGAGTATATGTAGTAGGGATCAATGAACTAAACATTCATTTGGCCAAAATATGTCATCTCCTAATCTTTAAGAAAAAATGAGGGGCCAGCCCAGTGACATAGCAGTTAAGTGCGTGCGCTCCGCTGCAGCGGCCCCGGGGTTCACAGGTTCGGATCCCGGCGTGCACCGACACACCGCTTGTCGAGCCATGCTGTGGCGGCGTCCCATATAAAGTAGAGGAAGATGGGCACAGATGTTAGCCCAGGGCCAATCTTCCTCAAAAAAAAAAAAAAGAAAAGAAAAGAAAAAATGAACATCAAATGTGGGTTGTGACCCATATTTGTGTGCTGTCCCTGCATTTCCTATTTTAAAACTTTGAGTTGAAAACTCACGGTCCGCAGGGCTTGAAAAGGCAGGCCGACGGTGGTTAAAAGCATAGCCCCTTTGTAGGTTTTCTAGCTCGATTTAAAGTCAAAGGCTGGGGGCCGGCCCCGTGGCTTAGCGGTTAAGTACGCGCGCTCTGCTGCTGGAGGCCCAGGTTCAGATCCCGGGCGCGCACCAACGCACCGCTTCTCCGGCCATGCTGAGGCCGCGTCCCACATACAGCAACTAGAAGGATGTGCAGCTATGACATACAACTATCTACTGGGGCTTTGGGGGGAAAAATAAATAAATAAATAAAATTATAAAAAAAAAAAGTCAAAGGCTGGTTGAAGAAGAGATGGCATACAAGCAGAATTCTGCGGCTGGGAAGTGCTTTATGGGTTTGTCTCGCTTGGTGGCCTCCTTCCAGCCAGAAATCATTATGCTTCCCTTTGGCCCATCCTTTCTAGTAGAATACGGAAGGACCTGGGTATTTTAATGGAGTTCTCTTAACTATTGTTTTTCTAAAATTTTCTTTTCCTCTTTCCTTTCTTCAGGCAATGTGGCTTTGCAAACATCTGAACAGCAATCTTCTAACCATGGAGAACTTGATAGCAAAAGAATTTTCTTCTCTGGCTGCAGAGGCCAGGAGGCATTATCAGACAGTCAAGGTAGGGCTGGCCCTGGGGGCTTGGTGGGGACAGAGGGACAGAGCTCCCAAGGCTCCCCATCCACCTGCTCCGCTCTGCTAGTTTCCATTTCCTTTGGATTAAGTGAGAGAAAATGCTGGGGTAAAATGACGTATAGGCAGTCTGTATGAAGGAGGGAGAGGATTCTTTTTTTTTTTTTTTTTTTTTTTTTTTTTTAGATTTTATTTATTTATTTCCCCCCAAAGCCCCAGTAGATAGTTGTGTTTCATAGCTGCATATCCTTCCAGTTGCTGTATGTGGGACGCGGCCTCAGCATGGCTGGAGAAGCGGCGCGTCGGTGCGCGCCCGGGATCCGAACCCGGGCCGCCAGCAGTGGAGCGCGCGCACACCTAACCGCTAAGCCACGGGGCCGGCCCGGGAGAGGATTCTTAAATAGGGCGCGTATCCTGGTGGTTTTGAGGTATGGGGTTTGTGGTGAGAAAGGATCATTCATAGAGTGAGGATGCCTTTTTGTACCGATGGAGCAGCCCAGGCTTGCTCCTTTTCCTCTTAGGGTAAACCAGGTACAGTGGGTGCAGGCCGGGCAGGGGTCTCCATTCCCACAGATGATGCACCTGCTGGCCTGTGCCAGGACGTGCAGAGCTGAGCTGGCATTAAAGGGCAGTGGTCCAGCTGTCTCCAGAGTGGAAAGACCTCTCTGTGCACTGCCTCTCAGGGGTGCTTCCTTCCACCACTTGGGGCGCCATGTGGCACAGGGGCCACCGCCCTGGTTCAGTCAGTCTCCATCCACTCTGTCCACCTCTCACACATGGTGGGTAGCATCCCAGGAGGATCGGGTGTTCTGTTTCTAAAATCCCACCAACCCTATATTTGAAAGACGTTTTCTAAAGGGAAATACAGGCCTTGATCATGTTGTTTCTCTTTAATAGAAATAGAAACTTCAGAGTATTTCTTCAAAATCTGTTTTGGAACTTGAGCAGGTATCTCAGTTGGTTCGGGCTGTTACAACAAAATACTGCAGAATGGGTGGCTTAGAAAGAACAGAAATTCATTTCTCACAATTCTGGAGGCTAGAGTCCAAGATCATCGCACCAGCAGATTCTGTGTCTGGTGAGGGCCGTCTTCTCACTGCAACCTCACATGGCAGAGAGGACAGGGAGCTCTCTGGGGCTTCTTTTATAAGGGCACTAATCCCATTCATGAGGCTGTGCTCTCATGACCTAATCACCTCCCAAAGGCCCCACCTCCCAGTACTGTCACCTTGAGGGTTAGGATTTCACCGTATGAATCTGGGGGACATGCACATTCAGACCATGGCAGCAGGGATGTGCCCTTTTGGGCGTTCTTTACCGAGACCCAGGCCTTCTCGTGTTTGTGAGGGAAGACAGCTGAGAACAGGAAGGATCCTGTTTTTGCTGAAGGATCCTGTGTTTGCTGAACACTGTGTGTCGGGCACTTTCCGGGCCTTCCCTCCTTGCCTTGTGATCTCCACGTGCGGTGTGGTCTTCTGACCTACAGAGCCTGTGGAGGTGAAGTGATCGCCCAGGGCAGGATTCAGGCCTATGGGTGCCCTAAGCCCCATCCACTATGGTGCCCCCTTGGCCCTTCCATGGCTTAAAATCCAGAGTTTAAGGGTCCTGCACATGGGGCCAGCCCGGTGGCGCAAGCGGTTAAGTGCGCACGCTCCGCTGCGGTGGCCTGGGGTTCACCGATTCAGATCCCGGGCACGCACTGGCACACCACTTGTCAAGCCATGCTGTGGCAGTGTCCCATATAAAGTAGAGGAAGATGGGCATGGTTGTTAGCCTAGGGCCAGTCTTCCTCAGCAAAAAAAAGAGGAGGATTGGCAGATGTTAGCCCAGGGCTGATCTTCCTCACAAAAAAAAAAAAAAAGGGTCCTGCACACACATCAGCTGCTGAGTTTATTGCCAGCCAGCTGTTTTTACTCTTATGCCATGAGACAGAAACGTGTTATATGATGACGTCTTCAAACCAAACTTTTAAACTTGAGTCACTTGCCATGCCAAAGAAAAATTGTTTTTAAACAATGCAGTTTAAAGTCAAACACAGCAGATAAAGACAATTACAAAAAATTTGACAAAAGTGGAGTGTGGTGGTGAAACAGTTATGGGCATGATCGTGGGGTGGGGGTGGGAACTCTGGTGCCCCCCTTCCCCAAGTGAGAGCTTATTTTATGTAATGGATAATCCAGGGCTGCCCCAGGCCTGGCCCTGCCAGTAGGGGTAAGAACCCCAGGTTTCTCACCAGTCTCTGCATAGACTCCCGCTAAGAGCTGTTTGTATCCTTTATTCATCTACATTCATTGGGCAAGGTCTTTACACATGGCCATGTGGCCATTGTTCATCCAAGAATTTGGTAGTGAGTTTTCAGGCCTCATGGGCTGCCAATGAATGGTGGCTGGTGGGACAACTCTCATGGCCAGCCCTTGGATGCAATAGCAGAGATCCACCTGGGCTGGGCAGGGCAAAAAAAGAAATCTGAAGGGGGACACAGTGACTCCTGGGACCTGGATGGAGGCAGCACCCACCTCCTTGGCTCTGTGGCTGAGAATTGGGCAGCCATCCTTGGCCTTTCTGCCTCTTTGAGGTCACTTTATCTTCTGTCTCCATTCTCTTCCATCTTTCTTGGCCACTCATGACCACTACCCCTGTTCCCAGGTTCCCATGTCCTCAATTCAAACCACCCACAGAGGCAGCTCCAAGGCCACATTCTCAGAAAAGGGGATCTGCTCAGGCCAACTGGTCAGGTGTCCCAAGAGCCCGTCAGCTCTGGTGAGGGTTGAGCAAAGAGGGTTCTGCGAGGCCATGGAGCACCGACATGGCTGGGAGGGCCCTGGGAGGGTGAGGGCACTTCTCAGAGGTGAGGGGTGTGAATTAGGCAGACTCCCAACCCCAAGTTTGCCAATTACAACAACTTGGTAGAAGAGGAGGAAAACCTTATTCAGCAAGGTCAGCCACCGCACAGTGAGCTGCTTCTAAACTGCTTCATGTAGAGCCCCCTCTGCCCCCACACTCCTGGGTTAGGGCTCTCAGGGGAGAGTAAGTGATGCCTCCCTGTCCTGCCCTGAAGTCTTGCAGGAGTCGGAGTGTATGATTATAGTTTGGGGGGACATCAACTTTTGGGGTAGGAATATGGTTTTAGTAAGGAAGCAGTTATCTCATTTTTTGCAGAAGATAAGCTTTTTAGGGTGGGGGAGGCAGGCTTATTTCTAGGCTAAAGATGCTTTTATTAGGTTTATAAAATTCAACGGAGAGGAGGGAGTTTAGAAAAATTCCTCCTGGGTTTCATTACACTAATTATCAGCATATTTCAGACCACATCGAAGTGCTTTCAAGGGTGTCTTGTTGGGGTTCCTTGGTTAGGAAGCGCGGGTGGAGGGAAGATGAAAGGCAGGGACGTCAGGACCGATCGAGGAGTAAAAGGTCTTGAAGAGCTGGCATGGTGTGAGTCTGGGCAGCCGTGCGTGGCCTTGCCGCAGTCGGCCGACCGCAGGTGAGGCCTCTCATCGAGTGTTGTCTTTAAATCGTCTGCTGATTGGGAGCCTTTACAGCTCTTTTTGCAAGTAGCGATAATACCTTCAAATACCTAATTTTCTCCTGTTAATCTTGTCTCTGCCCTACACAGAATTCTCTTACGTTGCTGGTGTTAACTAAGACATCTCCATTTTAGGGATTTTCAGATGGTTCCTGAAATACTTCCCAATCACCTACTGTGTGCCCAGCACTGTCCTGCAGTGCCATGGGAGACCCACAGATGAATTCCTTCCTGCCCATGGGAACTAGCAGCCAGTGGGAGAGACCGAGGGTACCATAAAACTGGGCACAAGCCTGGATCTGGGGCCAGGAAGGCTTCATGTAATGGGTGGCTTGGGTGACTAACTGATTTACTCAGTAAGTGTCCTCTGAGCAGCTGCTAAATCCAGGCCCTGGCTCTGGGCTGGGAAGAGGGGTATAGGCTGCAAGATTTAGGGGCTCAATGGCGCCATAACCACAGTCATGGCCTTCCTAAGGGCACCACTGTGACATTGATGACATGGAAGAGCCCGGAATCAGGCAAAGTGCCACAAAACCCACGCGGGCAGGCAGATCCCTGAGGGTGCTGGGGCCTCCAGGTGACTAGCGATTGAAAACAGCTTTTTTGTTTGACTGTTTATAATGAAGTGTTATAAAGATATTCAGAAGCAGTGAGAATAGTATAAGAACGCTCATGGACCCATCACCCAGCTCAACCAGTATCAGAATAATGGCAATCCAGTTTCATGTTGACCCTTCCATCCCCCTGCCCCTGGTCATTTGAAAGCAAACCGATACAACATTTCATTTCATCCATAGATGTTTTAGTCTGTGTCTGCTAAGGGACTGAATATACGATGACCAGACTGTATATAAAAATAGAACTCTGACCCACAACCTGTAGCAACCTGCCCAGGAAACCAACCCATTATCTATAGTAAGCAGCCCAGGAAGCCAGCGAGCTGTAAGTGAGACTTGGAGGAAGTCAGACTGCTGTCTCTAGTTTGATCTGGGAAGCGCAATAGCCCTGTAACAATCAGCCCCAAATGTCCAAGACTTAATTAATAACTTCCAGCTTCCCTAATTTTTGTCTCTACTTCCAACTTATGACCAACCAGAGAAAGCCAAATATGCCCCTCTAACCAAGCACACAGGACGCCCTGCTTCCGGTTGGCCTCCTCCAGCTTCCCCAGACCCACAGCCTCTATCAGGCACACCTGAGCCTTCCCCTTTTCTGCTGGAATGCTCTCCCGCCCTGAGAAAAGAAAACCTTTACTGTTGAAATCCTGGCAGGAAGAATACGTATTTGCAAATTTGAAACTGCCTAGTCCAGAGGCTCTCAGCCTTAGCAGCACATTAGACTCACCTGGGCCCCACCAGACTCATTTAGTCTGAATCCCCCGAAGTAGGGCCAGGCATCAGAATTTAAAAATGCTCCCCAGGGAATTCTAGCTTGGCCAGCTGGGAGCCCACCCTAGACACCACTCTCCCTTTCTTACTGCAGTTACCTCTGCAGCACAACTATTGCTAAATCAAGGTTTCTTTTGAATGCAACTGTTGCCTTAGAGGAGAACAGCCTGTGTTTGTTGAATGAATAAGTGACCCAAGCTTTGAAGGCTTGTCAGACAGGAAGGAGCCAAAGCTGGGTTCTTCCTCACTTCAGTTCTGTTTAATTCCTAACTTCAATTCCGTTTAAAAATTTAAAATCTGATGTAACCCTATGTACCCAAGTGCCCAGCTGTCAGAGTCACCATTTTCTTTAATATGCAAATAAGAACTGTGCCCTCATCCCACCTCTGTCTACACAGAGAAACACAGTTCCCTCCAAGTATTTCTGGGATTGCCCAGCAGCTCCTGCTTCCAGGTCCTCTGGATCATCTCCATCCCTTCACTATCGTCTCCGGCCTTGCTGCTCCCTGTCCTGGAGGCTGTGCTGACACAGAGCATGCAGGAGCCCTCACGCTCCATCCTCCCTGCCAGCCACTCAAGGCAGTGGTGTGGAACAGGCCTTTGTGGCAGTTTGGGGTGGTGGAGGTAATGACAGCCCAGGATGGGGTCAGATAAACCCAAGGACCAGTCTCTGCAGCTCCTCTTAAAGTTCATTGGCCTTTCCCACTCAGAGCCTCTCTTTTGGGCCACCCTACTCTGTGGGCCGGTCGCGTGCCACATGCTGGGGTCTTGCTCTTCCTTCAAAACCATGTCTCCTGTTCTCTCCCTCTCATCTCCTGTCCCCCTTTCCAGTCTCTGCCCTTCAGAACTAGGCGAGTTCCTGCCAGCTAAACCCCCTCTGACAACCCTGAGAAGCAGCAGGAACTTGGAAATGAGAGTTGTCTTTACAAGATTCTCTGATCCATTCTTAAGTGAGCTCAAGTCCAAGTTCGGGGCTGCCCTCCCCCACTAGCAGCCCCCTAGGGAGAAGGGGCAGAGTTGGGCATTCCAGGAGTCTCAACCGTTCCCCTCCCCACTCTGCTCCAGAGGTAGATCAAAATGCCTATGACTCCTGAGTGAGCATCACCCAAAGGTGACACAGGGACATCAGGGGCTCTGAGAGTGGGGCCTGGTGATGGGAACACACCAGCTCCTGTCATCCTGGTGAGGAAGCCCAGGCTTGGAGAAGTTAAGGGAGGCGCCCCAGGAGGCAGAGCCAGGTTTCAACCTCCATACCTGGATGCCTCTGAACAGCAACATCCTTCAGGGGAGGGGCGGCACCTCTGAGGTTAGCAGGTCAGCGGTTCTGCCCGCGCCCCCAGGCGTTTGGAGCTGGAAGGAGAAAGGTCCAAATTGGAGCCAACGCAGCCAATTCTGCCCTTAATGGCAAGGAAGCAAGCTGGGTGTTCGTTGCCACTGAGTAGGGAGATGAGGGGTCAGGGGCCTGCACTGGGCTGAGCCTTCTCTCTGACCCGCAGGGCCTTCACCGGGCTCTGTCAGTTTGTCCCTGATTCTCCTCAGAAAGCCAAGCTTTGGGGGGCTGGGGCGGGAGAGCATGGCGGAGCTCTGGAAGAAGGGAGCCTCCTGATTCCTGCGAAGACAGTTCCGCGGGGCTTCGAGAAGCGGCCCCCTGGAAACCCCCACTGCTGACGTGACACATCAAAGCTGGCATCGAGACAGCCGGAGGCGGGAGCTGCGGGGGGCACCTGGGAGGGGCTGCGCTCAAAGCCACCGGCCTGTACCCCGCTGTGCAGACTGCGGGGGGCACTGTGCCCCAACCAGACCTGTAGCCTTTCAACCCATGTTCTTTGACTGGCTTGCACCCCCTCCCCCCCACGCCCAGTACCTGTTTGAATGCTGCCTCCTGAATGGGTGTTGTCAGGGAAGGACATGACTCCTGGGAAACCGGCTTCAGGAAGGACCCTGGCTCTGCCTGGGGTAGGGAGGGGCCACAGGGGGCCAGAAAAGGATGGAAGCAGTTCGGAGGGGAGGTGCTCCCTGTCCACCCCCTTCCCTCACCAGCCTGGGGAGGTTTCCTCGGATAGCTGGGAGGATGTGGGCACTGGCAGAAAGACACCTTTCCTTTCCAGCAACTTCTCCCATGTAGGGTAGGGCTCTTGGGTGCTTGAGTGTGCGTAAGACATTGGTTCTCCAGGTATGGTCCCCAGACCAGGAGCCTTAGCATCACCTGAAAACTTGTTAGAAATGCAAATTTAAGCCCCACCCAGCCTGGGGAGGCTCAGAGAGCACTGTCTGTAGGCAGCGGCACTTGGTGCTGAGGCTCAGAGGGCTCCTGGAGCCGCTCAGGTGGGAGTGGGGCAGAGCATCTGGGTGGGGGCACAGGATAAGCAAGAGCCTGGAGGTCGGTGCACACGTGTGTTGGGGGGGCGTCAAAGAGGTGGTCAGTGCAGAATGAAGCTCAGGGCAGGTGGTGGGGGCAGTGGAGGCTGAAGGGGGGCAAGGCCACAAGGTGGGCCTGGGCTCAACAGAGCCTTCCGGGCATTAGTCAGGGACCTGGAGAAATTTCGTGTCAACACAGCCAGGTCCTCAGTTCTCAGCTGAGCCTACTGGCCTGCCCATTATGTGTCCTTTGAACTCAATCCACAAGTTCAAGCCTTCATTCTTCATGTCATCTTTCCTTTAGACAGTGCCCAGCATGCAGCTTGTCAGACTGATTCGGGACCGCCTGAGTGAGGAGGACTGCATCAGGCGGGTAAGAGGCCCTGCGTGGAGCCAGCTTGGAGCTCCCAGATAAAGGGGGAGGGGGGACGTGGGTTCACGTTCTAGAGCAGAGATGACCTGCAGAATAGGGTAGAAACAGACAAACTGGAACTCCACGAAGGATGCCACCTTGGATGGAGGGAAAATAACAAGGTGGAGTCTGGGGTCTCCATCGGGGTTCCTATAGGAAAGAGCTGGTCCGCCCCAGGGGGTCACAGGAGAGCCTTTACTGAAAGGGTAGTTGCTGAAGTGTAGGGGAGAAAGGCAACCAGTAAGGGCCAGTGAAGCCGCCTGAGACCAGCAGCACAGGGAGCTGGACACCTCTGGACCTGGAGGGGCAGAGGGAGAATTGGGGAGTACCCCAAGCTGTCCTTCATCCTCTGATCTCCTGCCAGTGCCCGCCTTGGCCAGACCCAATGAAGCCAGAGGGCAGGGGGTCCAGGTCAGCCTTCTGGGGCACCGAAGGGGGTTGTGATGTTGTGATTTATAATAAGAAATGTGTATTTGGTCTTCTTCCTGTTCTTGGCACAGAGCTAACTAAAACCCTGGGAATTTGCTAAGTGAGGAGAGCGGTAAATGTGCCTTTTGTTATGTTAACGAGGTGACTTTTGGAAGCACCTAAGGATGGGGGCTGGTTTCCAGGGGAACCAACCCTGTGATTGGAGGGTTGGGACTCTCAGTCACACCCTCTGACCTCTGGGGAGGGGTGAGGAGCTGGAGGTTGAATCAATCACCAATGGCCAATGATTTAATCAATCGTGCCTGTGTAATGAAGCCTCCCTAAAAACCCAAAGGGATGGAGTTTGAGAGCTTCCGAGTTGGTGAACACGTGGAGGTGCTGGGAGAGTGGTGCTCCTGGAGAGGGCATGGAAGGTCTGCGCCTTTCCCCATACCTCGCCCTGTGCATCTCTTCCATTTGGCTGCTCTTGAATTATATCCTCTATAATAAACCAGTAATCTAGTAAGTAAAATGTTTCTCTGAGTTCTGTGAGCCACTCCAGCAAATTAATTGAACTAGAGGATGAGTCCTGGGAATCTCTGATTTATAGCCAGTGGGTCCAAAGTATAGGTGACAACCTGGACTTGCTACTGGCATCTGAAGTGGGCGTGGGGAATGGCGGGCCAGTCTTGTGGGACTGAGCCCTTAACCTGTGGAATCTGATGCTGTCTCCTGGCAGATAGCGTCAGAATTGAGTTGAAACGTAGGACATCCAACTGGGGTCCTAGAATTGCTTGTTGGTGGTGTGGGAACCGTCTCCCCAAACACACACGCCAGCTCCACACATTGGAATTGGGGACCTAACCCGAAAAGAGGGGTGGAGAGGGTGGGGGATCTGAAGCACTGAGTCCTCAGATCCTCACAGGAACCCTATTCAGTCAGCACCATTACTTCCCCATTTTCCAGATCTTCTCCCAGTCTGCAGCTGTCTTGTTGTTCTCATATCAGTGTCTTTCACGGAGCAAATGTTTTTGATTGTAATGAAGTCCAATTTATCAATTATTTGAACATTTTTTAGTATTCCATTTTAATTTATCTCTTGTGTGTTTTTTTTTATAATTTTATTTATTTATTTATTTTCCCCCAAAGCCCCAGTAGATAGTTGTATGTCATAGTTGCACATCCTTCTAGTTGCTGTATGTGGGACGCGACCTCAGCATGGCCGGAGAAGCGGTGCGTCGGTGCGTGCCCGGGATCCGAACCCGGGCCACCAGCAGTGGAGCACGTGCGCTTAACCGCTAAGCCATGGGGCCAGCCCTCTCTTGTGTTTTTTGCTATATCTCTTTGTATAGTTTTTTTAGTGGATGATCTAGTAATTATAATATACAGACTTACCTTTTCACAGTCTATTTAGAGTCAGTATTTTACCATTTCAAACAGAATATGCAATATAGCCCCTTTACTCTCCTCTGTGTTGTAGCTGTCGTATGTATTATTACATCTGTGTACATTGCAGTCCCATCAGGCAATGTTAAACTTTTTGCTTTCAGTCATCAAACATATTTTAAAGAACTCAGAGGAGAAGAGTCTATTATGTTTGTCCAGGTATTAGCATTTCTGTTGCTCTTCCTTCGTTCTTCATATTCCAAGTGTCCCTTTCTGTCTGAAAAACTTCTTTTAGCAATTCTTTTAGAGGAGGTCTGCTGGCACTGAATTCTCTTGATTTTCCTTCATCTGAGAATGTCTTTATTTTGCCTTCATTCCTGAAGGATATCTGTTTCTGGACTTAGAATTCTAGATGGACAGTTTTTTCTTTCAGCACTTTATAAATGTTCCACTGACTTTTAACCTGTGGTTTCTGTTGAAAAAGCCACAGTCATTCAAAGTCTTATGAGTAATGCATCATTTCTCTTGCTGCTTTCAAGATTGGTTTCTTTGTTTGGAATTTTCAGCAGTTTAGTTATGATATGTCTGGGCATGAATTTCTTTGGATTTATTCTTTTTGGGGTTTGCTGAATTCCTTGAATTTATAAGTTTATGTTTACCTCCAAACTTGGGACGTTTTCAGCCATTACTTTCACATAATTTTCCACATCATTCTCTTTCTCCTCTCGAGACTCCAATGCCGTGAACGTCAGACCTTTAGGTATTCTCCCACGGGTCCCTGGAGCTCTACTCTTTTTTTTCCCCTGTCTTTTTTTCTCTCTGTTGATAAGATTTGATGATTTGTATTGAACAATCTTCAGGCTCATTGAATCTTTCCTCTCTCATCTCCAGTCCACTATTGAGCCCATCCAGTGAATTTGTATGTTGATTATTGTATTTTTTAGTTCTAAAAATTCTATTTGGTTCTTCTGTCTTCTCTTTCTTTGCTGAGACTTTCCATTTGTCCATGCATTTATTTGTTTAAGATTTGTTGTTGTGTTTTTTTTTTTAATTTTATTTATTTATTTTTTTCCCCCCAAAGCCCCAGTAGATAGTTGTATGTCATAGCTGCACATCCCTCCAGTTGCCATATGCAGGACGCGGCCTCAGCATGGCCAAAGAAGTGGTGCGTCGGTGCGCGCCCGGGATCCGAACCCGGGCCACCAGCAGTGGAGCGCGCGCACTTAACCGCTAAGCTACGGGGCCGGCCCCGTTGTTGTTTTTTAATAATAGCTGCTTCAGAGTCTTGGGTAATTCTAACATCTGAGCTGAGGTTTTCCTGGTTCTTGCTGTGCTAAGTAATTTTGTTTCTGGACATTTTTCATATTGCTGTGCGACTCTGGGTCTTATTTGAATCCTATGGCAAATGTTGATCTTTTTGACTTAGCAGGCCATCGATGCAGCTGTGCTCAGGCCGCGAATTCCAGCCACCTTCTCTGGGTTGTGGTGTTGGCGTCAGTTCTGCTTTCAAGTCTTGGCAGTGCTGTGCAGTGCTCTGCAGCTCTGTGCTGTGTGTATGCCGCTCAGTGGGGCCTGGGCAGTGGTCTGCGCTATAGTTGGTGTCTCAGTGTCTTTGGAATGTGGTTTAAGGTCAGACCCATGCATGCACAGCTTGAGGGGGCACCCATGAGTCCATGCACAACTTTATTTGGCTGCTTTCCTGAGCTCTCCCTCTGCCATCTTCATGGTGACTTCTGGTTCCCTGGTGTTCTTTTTGGTCTTCTAGCCAGACAGCTGGGACTTGATTTACCCTGCTCTGCCACAGGCTTCCTGTGACTACACTTGTGACCAGGGCCAAGTGGTGGGAGGACAGTGAAAGGAAACATTTATGGGGTTTTGCTCCATTCTCTAGAGACTGGAGGGGAAGGGTCCCCTGCTCCCTCAGGGTTTCAGGCACCTGCAGGCTCCCTTTGTCACTGCTACTGCTGCAAGATTGCCTGGGGGCTGGAGTGCAAGCAAACAGGGAAAAGAGAAAAAACACTCGGAGATTTCCCCCACTCTCTGAGCGTTAGGAGTCCCCTTTCCCACTGCTCAAGCCAGAAGTAGAGGGCTCCTCCTGGCCCTCTCTCTGTCCCTACCTGTTGCCCATCTCAGGTTTCAGGCTGCCTGAGGACCAGGCTAGGAAATACTTGTTTGATGATATTTTGAATTCTGCTCTTCTTCCCTAATTCACTTACTACTGTATCCTTTTCTGAGTCCTCAAATAGCTGCCCCATGCATTCTGTCCGTGTGTTCTAGCTGCTTTCAGGGGGAGTGACAGGCTGGGGTGTGCGTACCCCATCTTGCCCAGAACCAGAACTTGTGTGCTTTTTTTCTTAACGTACAGATATGTGCACGTGTGCTCTCACACACACACACTCTTGCTTAAAAATTAATTGAGAGGCCCAAATCGGGGAAGATAACTGTACATCTTTCCAGTGCAGTGTTGAACAAATAGCAGTTCTCATAGGCTTGCTCGGCATGGTCCTCAGCCACGTGAGTCTAACTCACCAGAGGGCCACAGACGAGCTTCACTCTGGGTTTCAGAATCTTTTTTTTTTTTTTTTAAAGATTTTTTTAATTTATTTATTTTTCCCCCAAAGCCCCAGTAGATAGTTGTATGTCGTAGTTGCACATCCATTCTAGTAGCTGTATGTGGGACGCGGCCTCAGCATGGCCGGAGAAGCGGTGTGTCGGTGCTCGCCCGGGATCTGAACCCAGGCCGCCAGCAGCGAAGCGCGCGCACTTAACCGCTAAGCCACGGGGCCGGCCCTGGGTTTCAGAATCTGATTTGAACAGCGTGTTTTCCTCTGACCTCAAATTGTTCACAGTGAGCTGATGGTCTCCCACTGCCCGGGCACAGGCAAGGGCCCAAAGCTGAGAGGCCATTCTGAATCCGGAGTAAATAAGCTATTTCTCTGAAGGCCAGATAGTAAATATTTTACGTTTTGCAGACTATACAGTCTCTGTTGCAACTACTCAAGTCTGATGTAATGTGAAAGCTGCCGTACGTGATACGGAAAGGAAAGGGCATGGGTTATCCCAGTAAAACTTTATTTACACACACAGGCAGCAGGTTGGCTTTGGCCCCGGGGCTCCAGTTTGCCGACTCCTGTTCTAAATGATACTTTCACATGATCATAAAAACA